AGGAAATAAAGGAAATAATAATGATAATAGCAGGAAACTTGCTACGGACCAGCTAGACTGTTAATTGGCGCTCAATAAACTGTGTTTTCTTGTCATTAGTTCTGGGCTTACGTGAGCCGTTGTACTGTTCCGAGGTTTCAGAAACTTATACTATGCTACCTATATTCCTTCGTTTTTTTGTGTATTTACACCATCGTTGGGTTGGTTTTATAGGCTTATCAACAGCTAAGGTCATTTAAGGACTGGCCTCTATGTGTGTTTTGAATGCGTGCTTGTGTGTGTCTAGATAGGGTGTGCTGGTGTGAATTCCTTCCTTGTGATAGCGCCGACCCGATGCCGATTTTGTAGTGCTATCTCACTGAAATACCATGCCGAAGACACACAACACATCATTCCGCCAGGTCACATTATAATGACAACCGGCGAACTTGGTTTGGTTTAGTTTTTTTAACGTTCTATTAACAGGTAAGGTCATTTAAAAACGTGTCTCCGTGTGTGTATTGTATGTGTGCTTGCGTGTGTGTATGCAGGAGACAGGGTATGTTGGCGTGCTTGCCTCCTTGTGATAGCGCGGATCTGATGCCGACTTTATACTGCCATCTCACTGAAATACCATGCCGAAGGCACCAAACACAACATTATAACTGGTCACAGTATACTGACAACGGCTGAACTAGTCTTTGTCATTACCCTAAAAGCTCAACGTAAAGCAGTAATTACAAGTTACTATTATGCATAGTGTACTCGAATGATCACACACAGAGCTATTACGTGACCAGCTGTGGTGCGTACTCAGTACTGTAAAAGATATAGATTTTGTGTTTAATCTTAATGTAATGTCTAATTACCATCTACTTCATGTTCTTCTTGGTGGTATTTTCAACTATGACTTATCTACATATGATCTGGAAGACTTTAGAATAAAATCCATTGTTATTATTACTAAAATTCTTCAATACAGTGGTATTATGTAATTTATCCTTAGATATTTGAATGTTGTATACTGAGTAATATGATCGCACATTTACTTGTGTGTACCTCACGCTTCAGCAAGATTAAGACATGAAATACATATATGTTTGTATTCATATTAGTAGGCAAGCATTTCCTACGTCTTTCCTGTTATACCATTGCACAATTGGGCTGCATGATTAGTGCAACTTACTACCATTCATAATAGTATTTGTATTGTATATATTAATCTTGTGATATGTATTACTACAACTGAAATCATTGGATGGTTGCGCTGTTTCTTCAAGTTATTTATTATATTGTATGTTGTGTATTTCACACCACTGTATGACTATATTGTATGACTTCGTGCAACGGGTTCTACTCAATGTATGATTGTATTGTTAGACTTGTGTAACAGTAATACTGTCTATAATAATGCTGTATAATTTATAGTGTGATGCTTGTAATACTGTTTATTACAATGTTGTATGATTGCTTAGTACGAGAAGTGTATTACTGTCTATACTATTATATGATAATGCAGTTTGAGGAGTGTAAATATGTCTATTATATCAATGTGTGATGTAATGTATGATTAGTGTTATACTGTCTCTCATCATAATTATCACCGTATAATGACTGTAATAGTACCTATTATATCATTGTGTTGTGTTTATAGTACTTTATGGTATAATGCGGGAACTATTATTATTCATTTATGTGTGTGTCTGTCCATGTGCATGTGTGTGTCACTATTTAAGGGTGTGACCATGATTGTGAATGCATTTTCTTCTCTTTCAATAGTGTTGAATTGTACGTGTAATGTTCGTCATTTCTGTAACTCTTCTGTTCTGGAGGAAATAAAGGAAATAATAATGATAATAGCAGGAAACTTGCTACGGACCAGCTAGACTGTTAATTGGCGCTCAATAAACTGTGTTTTCTTGTCATTAGTTCTGGGCTTACGTGAGCCGTTGTACTGTTCCGAGGTTTCAGAAACTTATACTATGCTACCTATATTCCTTCGTTTTTTTGTGTATTTACACCATCGTTGGGTTGGTTTTATAGGCTTATCAACAGCTAAGGTCATTTAAGGACTGGCCTCTATGTGTGTTTTGAATGCGTGCTTGTGTGTGTCTAGATAGGGTGTGCTGGTGTGAATTCCTTCCTTGTGATAGCGCCGACCCGATGCCGATTTTGTAGTGCTATCTCACTGAAATACCATGCCGAAGACACACAACACATCATTCCGCCAGGTCACATTATAATGACAACCGGCGAACTTGGTTTGGTTTAGTTTTTTTAACGTTCTATTAACAGGTAAGGTCATTTAAAAACGTGTCTCCGTGTGTGTATTGTATGTGTGCTTGCGTGTGTGTATGCAGGAGACAGGGTATGTTGGCGTGCTTGCCTCCTTGTGATAGCGCGGATCTGATGCCGACTTTATACTGCCATCTCACTGAAATACCATGCCGAAGGCACCAAACACAACATTATAACTGGTCACAGTATACTGACAACGGCTGAACTAGTCTTTGTCATTACCCTAAAAGCTCAACGTAAAGCAGTAATTACAAGTTACTATTATGCATAGTGTACTCGAATGATCACACACAGAGCTATTACGTGACCAGCTGTGGTGCGTACTCAGTACTGTAAAAGATATAGATTTTGTGTTTAATCTTAATGTAATGTCTAATTACCATCTACTTCATGTTCTTCTTGGTGGTATTTTCAACTATGACTTATCTACATATGATCTGGAAGACTTTAGAATAAAATCCATTGTTATTATTACTAAAATTCTTCAATACAGTGGTATTATGTAATTTATCCTTAGATATTTGAATGTTGTATACTGAGTAATATGATCGCACATTTACTTGTGTGTACCTCACGCTTCAGCAAGATTAAGACATGAAATACATATATGTTTGTATTCATATTAGTAGGCAAGCATTTCCTACGTCTTTCCTGTTATACCATTGCACAATTAGGCTGCATGATTAGTGCAACTTACTACCATTCATAATAGTATTTGTATTGTATATATTAATCTTGTGATATGTATTACTACAACTGAAATCATTGGATGGTTGCGCTGTTTCTTCAAGTTATTTATTATATTGTATGTTGTGTATTTCACACCACTGTATGACTATATTGTATGACTTCGTGCAACGGGTTCTACTCAATGTATGATTGTATTGTTAGACTTGTGTAACAGTAATACTGTCTATAATAATGCTGTATAATTTATAGTGTGATGCTTGTAATACTGTTTATTACAATGTTGTATGATTGCTTAGTACGAGAAGTGTATTACTGTCTATACTATTATATGATAATGTAGTTTGAGGAGTGTAAATATGTCTATTATATCAATGTGTGATGTAATGTATGATTAGTGTTATACTGTCTATCATCATAATTATCACCGTATAATGACTGTAATAGTACCTATTATATCATTGTGTTGTGTTTATAGTACTTTATGGTATAATGCGGGAACTATTATTATTCTTTTATGTGTGTGTCTGTCCATGTGCATGTGTGTGTCACTATTTAAGGATGTGACCATGATTGTGAATGCATTTTCTTCTCTTTCAATAGTGTTGAATTGTACGTGCATTGTTCGTCATTTTCTGTAACTCTTCTGTTCTGGAGGAAATAAAGGAAATACTACTAATAATAACAGGAAACTTGCTACGGACCAGCTAGACTGTAAATTGGCGCTCAATAAACTGTGTTTGCTTGTCATTAGTTCTGGGCTTACGTGAGCCGTTGTACTGTTCCGAGGTTTCAGAAACTTATACTATGCTACCTATGTTCCTTCTTTTTTTTGTGTATTTACACCATCGTTGGGTTGGTTGTATAGTCTTATCAACAGCTAAGGTCATTTAAGGACGGGCCTCTATGTGTGTTTTGAATGCGTGCTTGTGTGTGTCTAGATAGGGTGTGTTGGTGTGAATTCCTTCCTTGTGATAGCGCTGATCTGATGCCGATTTTGTAGTGCTATCTCACTGAAATACCATGCCGAAGACACACAACACATCATTCCGCCAGGTCACATTATAATGACAACCGGCGAACTTGGTTTGGTTTAGTTTTTTTAACGCTTACTGCCATCTCACTGAAATACCATGCCGAAGGCACCAAACACAACATTATAACTGGTCACAGTATACTGACAACGGCTGAACTAGTCTTTGTCATAACCCTAAAAGCTCAACGTAAAGCAGTAATTACAAGGCAGGGAATAACAACTACCATTAAATTACAACTACCATTTTAAGGACTTTAGTATGTCTTCTTTTGAAGGAAACTCTTTTTTCGAAGAAAGCACACCTTATGCAACTAATAATCCTTAAAGTTCGCAAGGAGTTATCTACCTTCCTTCAGTCAACAAGCCATTTTACATATTTGTGAATTTTGTTGTAGAATCATTTCGAACACAAAAACATATACTTCAGTAAAGTTTCGATACAATCACAGGTACTTATATATATTTTCATTGCATATAATGATTTGACAATTTTCCATAGTCTACAAAAGAAACCCGATTTAAGACAAAATATGCAATAATTCAAGTCGACGTATTTAGATGTAATTTAAAGTGCTGGCGGGATAGCGATATTTATGTCAGGCCCGACTTTTAATGTTAAATATTCAGTACTTTTGTACCCGACACAAACGTTGCTGCTCGGTTGACTTTTCTGAAAGACACCCTGTAGTTTATTGTCCAGATATAGGGACAATAACTGGAGCGAGACAGTTTGTTCTTTTGGTTTGGAATGAGGGGCACACGAAAGGATATTTCAAATGTAATCATTAAAACCTTAGCTTGTAATAAATACATCATAATTGTGTCTTGCTGAACTGATATCCTTTTCAGTTAAGTTATGAAGTGTATATGTTTATAGATTTAAGAACCGTTTTTAAAAGGAATTTATTTATATATATATATATCAAGTCTTTTTGACCCAGCGTGTAATAAAACTGTTTCAAGGTGTATTCAATCTCCTGATAAGATTACATACATTGATTCAGGACCAGGGGAATTTACTGTAAAAAACCTAGGTATATGACACGTGTTTGGGTCATGCAACTCAGATAGTTCTGACACTGAAAATACCATGAACTCAGTGTTGCTGTTTTAATTATCGTCTGTCCAATCACACATTCAAGTGCATAAACGTCGAATGGAGTCTACAATTGTTTTTTTTTTATTTAGCAATGGTTGGACGACTTGATCATATGTTTTCCGGTTGATGCAAGAAATAATATTATTTCGGATAACAACACGTGTCAGTTTGGTTGTTAAATATCGCTTCAAGGATGGGTACCGACCTTCATTGATGCTGAACTGTGCATAATATAGCTGTCATATAGGAAACAGTACTGACACTGAACGCTCTATGCTGAGGTATGTATAATCTCCTGATACAGTATATGCAGAGAATAATAATTATGTATAATATCGCTGAGTAAATAGAAACAGAATTATATACTCAACAGTATCAATGTTGATGTATGTATGACATTACTGGTATCGAAACAGAATTATCAACTTAACACTATCGATGTTGATGTATGTATGACATTACTGACATAGAAACAGAATTATCAACTTAACACTATCGATGCTGATGTATGTATGACATTACTGGTATGAAAACAGAACTATCAACTAAACACTATCGATGTTGATGTATGTATGACATTACTGGTATGGAAACAGAATTATCAACTTAACACTATCGATGCTGATGTATGTATGACATTACTGGTATGAAAACAGAACTATCAACTAAACACTATCGATGTTGATGTATGTATGACATTACTGGCATAGAAACAGAATTATCAACTTAACACTATCGATGCTGATGTATGTATGACATTACTGGTATGAAAACAGAATTATCAACTTAACACTATCGATGTTGATGTATGTATGACATTACTGGTATAGAAACAGAATTATCAACTTAACACTATCGATGCTGATGTATGAACGACATTGCTAAATGTATTGTATAAAATAGAATTAAACACTAAATATTGTCTACGTTGACGTATGCATGACATTACTGTTATATAAAACAGAATTGTACACAAGACACTATAGATGCTGATGTATGTATGATATATTACTGGTATACATATATAGAATACACTATATACACTGAACGAAGTGGATGTTGAGTTACATATATGCATGACAAAGCTTGTATATATAGAAAATACTTTATTTACTGAGCACTGTGGATATTGCAGAATATATGACATAACTGGCATATTGAAAACTGCAAGTACATAATCTAACCATAAATCTTTGTTCGAAACATTTTAATTTTAGTCGAATACATTAATAAAAACTGTTATTTCAAAACATGTATAAATAACTTCCGACTGCTCAATTTACCTTTATAGTTTTATACGGTGAAAATATATAAATAACCTAGGTAAATGTTCATGATTTTACCAATATACTATAATTAAAGACGTGTTGGAGTTAAGTTGTACAATTGTAGCACAAATTTTATTTATTCTCTAAAGAAGACTTGGTGATAAGATACATATAATAACTGTGAATATTACTAAGTCGCTTATACGTTTTAGTAGGTCAAGATCCAACACCGACCTAGATATGTCCATAACACCTTGTACATGCTGAAGTCAGTTACCTTAGTCCATACCATAAACATGTACATGTCGTATTGCAAGAGTTATTCGAGGAACATTAAAATCTGAAAATAACAGCAGTATTATTTTTTCAAATTAAAAAAAACAACACTATTCATTTATTTCGAACAACAGGAATCAACGTTCGACATAGAATTTCAAAGGAGAGAGAAAATGTGCTCTTAATAGATAATATGTCTATGTTGACATATTACTAATGTAAATAAACAAGTACTCGTGGAAGATTTGCTCGGTAGGAACTTACAGTTGGTAGTTATAGACAGGCGATACATGTAGTAGGCAGTTGTGACCAATGGGCATTTGGTTTTTGTTTAAAGAATGTATCTTGAATTTTTTTATCGATGTTAAATATATAGCATGTGAAATAACACCTACTGTGACGTCATAGGTACTGTAGAAATGAGATGACGTGACGAATTCATGGCGAATGATAAACAATATTTTTGCTAAATCTATTTTTGACAAAGATTTCACAGAAATTTTAAATACTGCCAGCCTTCGTTAAATGTATGATAATTGTCAGTCAATCGAATTATAAGAAATTATTTTGTATATCTGCAGGTGTATTGTGATTCCATGATAATGTATATCTATTAGGTTAAATCCTACATGTGCACTACACATGTTTCCTGGTTGTCGATTAAATGTCGATTTATTATTATCTCACAACGTTTTATTGTTTATTTTATTTTGCTGATATATTGTATCTTACATAAACACTACCTACTTAGTTTGTCTCGACATTGTTTTTTTTCTTTTTAATTTTAATTTTTAATTTTGATTTGTCAATTATGTAGGTGGCCTATTGCTTATCTCGACGTTGTGTCGTTAAGTTCAACATTCTGTCATTGGTCCAACTGTTTTCTCGCTTATCTCGTTATCTCGACGCTTTGTTGTTTATCACCAAGTTACTTTAAATTCCAATGCCATCAGATTCCTATTGCATATATGATTAGTTAAATGAGTCTGTACCAGTCGGACGCATTGTCCGGTGTTATACCCTGGTGCACCTACAAACGCACGGTCGACTCCAATACGTCCAAATTAACTTATGCCGGTCATCTAGAGGGGTTCATAAACTAATAACATGGATTTTCATTATCTCGAGACAGAATTAGATAAAGCTTGTCCGCGTATATAACGTAACGGTTGAAACTTTTGTTAAAAATATAAAAATGAAAAGACAAATTAGAGTTGCTTTTTTAAAACTTATTCCAACAGATTTCCTTAAAGAAGAAGCATGCTTATGCATATGTAAATTTTTAACCTTTTCCTCAAAAAGTTGTCGGTAAAGCTAACAATACTTTATTTTTAGACTGTCTTAAATATGGTTAAATGTTTTGTGCATAGTACTAGACACGTATTATGCACACACATGAACTACAACAATACTTCAATGATACGCTATTGTATACCCAATCACATTAGGCTCACATATGTCAGTTTTCTTTGTTAGCTGATTAACTACTCATATGTGGCAATGTTATAATCTGGGACTATGTTTAATTAGGGACTAACAATACAGTCATATGCAGTGGCAGATCCAGAGACCTATTTGGTGGGGGTCCAAATTTCCAGGGGGGTTTCCAAGTGGGGAAAAATTGAGAAAAATTGTGAAAATACATGATTTTTAAAGAAAATTCTCAGGGTGGGGGGTTTCCAGAAGCCCCCAAAAAACCTCTGGATCCACAAATGATATGTATAACTAATATATAGATATATTTACATAATGAAATATATTTCATTTCTTATTATTTTCTTTCAAATCCGGTCGTTTAAGATTATAAGACTCTTTCATGTCCAGGGGAGTAGGATCGGGAAATTCCACCCGAGCGGTTTTCAAATTTGATAGAACCCGAGGGTTTTGCCAAATTTGAAAATCCCGAGGTTGGAATTTCCCTATCCTACATCCTAGGGCATGGAAGAGTATTTTTCTCTGGGTTTTTTCATGGTTTCTCAGCTTAATCTGGAATTAGAGAAAAATACTCTTTCATGCCCAAGGGTGTAGGAAACGGAAATTCAACCCTCGGGATTTTCAAATTTGGCAAAACCCTCGGGTTTTACCAAATTGGAAAACCCCTCGGGTGGAATTTCCCTATCCTACACCCGTGGACATGAAATATTCTTATGATCTTTTGTGTAATTTATTAATAACGTTTATGAAAGGTTTTAATGATGTTTGAATAATCACTTCATTCAAACTTTCTTTTATCATTCAAATGAATTATTCGTTTTTTCATTTAATATCACAAGAACACAAAACAATTACAAAGCCCATTGGTTATTGATATTGACAAAAAGTTACAACTTTGTACGAGCTTGTCACAGCTGACAAACTGTGGAGAAAACCGTCCATTTCTATCTTCTGCACAAGGCCCTGAAATAATATGAAGTTTTAATATTATAAATACATTATCAAAAGTCAACAAAACAAACAGAAGATGTTTGATTAGTTAGTTTGACTTTATTAAAACTTAGCACGTTATGCTATTGAATATATGTATGTTGACATATACGTGATTAATAAAATAACTAAACGTTCAAAATTTTGTAAAACAAATATAATTTTAGATAAAGATAAAGAAAATGTTGTCTCTCATTTCCCTGTGTGTAAGATAAAACTGTCCAGGGTAAGAAAGGAGTGTAGGAAATTCCTATCTTACACCCCATTTCACGTGACGTAACGTTACAATGGCTGAACAATGACGTGACGTCACGAATTTGGAACCCTCCGATGCCGCGATGCGGAAAAGGCGACGTGATGAAATTAAAACATTTTACGATATATTTACCGTACACGTTGGAAAAAATGTGATTAATTTTTCAGCGCAAACTTTGTTTGCAAATATGGGATATGCTCAATCTGGCTGGCTGATTCGTTTTCGTCTAAAAAGCTCATGGGAAAAATTGATATTTTGAAACTGGTAGCCAGTTAAAACGCATTTTCATGATTCCTTAGCTTATTCTGTTGGTTGGAATGAGAGAGAAAAACTCATTCATGCCCAAGGGTGTAGGATAGGGAAATTCCACCCTCGGGATTTTCCTTTCCTACACCCCTGGGCATGAAAGAGTCTTATGATATTGATGAGAGCATTATCTTTGATATGGAAGAAGTAATACTAATAAATATTTCATAACTTTAGAATGAAGGAAGGTTATTCTATGTAATGCTACCCATATCATACTACGAATGCATTTAGGTTCAGGAACTGTTAAAATAATGTGACACTAATCCATTTAGGTTCAGGAACTGTTAAAATAATGTGACACTAATCCATTAAGGTGACGGAAAGGACAGTTTGTAAAAAAAAAATATCGCTTTCATAAATATATCGAGCTATTTTAACATTATATTATTAGTATATTAGGCAGTATAGGCCTAATATCTCACATCTTAAAGGTTCATATCTAAGAGAATTAGGAATATTTAATTTTGAACACAATAAATATGACTGTACTGGTAATATCTTTGTATTGAGCTACAATGTAAGAAATTAACGCTAATTTAACATTTAATGGTGTAAAGCTTATAAGACATGGACCAGTCGATATGAACAATGGTTGGTATTATTCAAAACCCTAATTCATCCGAACAATTTCTAAATCCAGATGTTGAAGACTTGACTTCATTTTATCAGAAAAAAAAATGTTTAAGATAAGGGAGTGTACCGTCCTTCCAGGTGGAAACCATATATATTTTATACATAGATCATCATGTTCATCAATGTGGTGAAGGCTTATTGAAGTATTCAATCAAAACACACGTTGCAAACGAATCATGTTATGTTGATCTAGGGTTGACATATATCTGGACATCTCAAAAAGTGACTACTCTAGAACGACAAAAACTTAAACATGTTATAACACAAAAGCTTAATGACCAGTTTATTCAAAAGTGGTATGCCGATATCGAAAAAAGTAGTAGAGGACAAAATTATCTATTATTTAAATCTAATTTTGGTTTTGAAAATTACTTAACTCAATTAAACAAGAGGGATCGTGTTGTGTTTTGCAAATTTCGCTCGTCAAACTTTCCGCTGCCCCTGGAAACTGGCCGTTGGATGGGAATTCCTCGAGAGGAAAGAGAATGTACTTTTTGTAATAGAAATGAAACAGGAGATGAATTTCATTATTTGTTTAAATGTCAACAAGAATCCATACGCCAGATTAGGGAAAAATTTATTCCAAAATATTATTACACCAATCCAAATGTTGATAAAATGAAAGGAATGTTCACAATATGTAACAAACAATTAATCAAAAGGGTTAGTACATTTCTTGTAAAACTGCAAATAATTATAAAAAAATAACAATTGAAATAAATCAGTATGTCAAAAATACTATACTTTGCATTATGATTATGGCAGTGAAGATAATTTGCTGTGAAAATTGAGTATCCAATACATATATGACTAATGCTGATAAATCTGGTCATATATATTCTTCTGTGTCACATGCATGAACTAATGCGGAATCTGTTCATGTGTAATCTACTCTCACTCGTGTGAACTAATGCTGAATCTGTTCACATGTAATCTACATGTGTGAAATAATGCTAAATCTGTCCTTGTATAATACTACTGTTTCACATGTATGAAATGAGGATGTGTAATCTTACTGTTTCACATGTATGAAATAATTATGTGTAAACTTACTGTTTCACATGTAAGAAAATAATGTTGAATCTGTNATGAAATATTGCTGAATCTGTCTATGAAATAATGCTGAATCTGTCTATGAAATAATGCTTAATCTGTCCATGTGTAATCTACTCTCTCTGTCATGTTTTATTTTGATTGATGTTATTTTGTTTGACCTCTTGTTACACACTTTGTGTGTCAGAGCGTAAAAAACAAATTTGAAATCTTGAAATCTTGTTACAAACTATCTGTTTACCATAACGCAGCACGTAATAAACGAGAAAGCATGTTTATGTTGCGAATGCAGCAAGCGTGTCGTGAATTCGTTTGTCGTCTATAAAAGTAATTTTAAAGCTATCTCGGTTGTAATTGATACATTTATAAAAATATATAAATATTCATGTACAAATGGTGAAATTTTAGAATCACCCATTTATACTTGAAACATTTATTCTAATTTCAGATATACCTTTCACGTAGACTTTGACAAGGGACTTTTATCTTAACTACAAAATACACCATGTCAGATGCGGCTACAGAGAATGGAGGTATGGTGGATCACTTTGGCGTCACATTTCATTGTGCGCCAGTTGGCTTTATATTCCCTAAATATTTGCTTGCTATGAATACATATTGCTTTACAAGCATGGTGCTGAATTACAATCTCTCAGTTATTTTTGTTTATCATTGTTGGGCAGCTGATGCAAAGATATGTTGTTTTTTTTTGTTAAAAAAACATAGGATTTCATGTTAACAAATTCAATTTATCAAATATACTTTCATGTAACAGTAAAACTAGACAAAAAAATGTTTCCGGCACAACACAGTCAAATACCCTGGTGGTTCCTTACATCACGAGCTCAAATACTTTCTTATACACACATGCATGAAAACAACAGTATCTTAACTTAGTATGAGTTTAAAAAAAGTAATTGAATCTTCAAATAATGAATTACCTCGTTAAAAGCTTGCACTGATAATACTCACGATTTAAAAAACAAAATATTTAAAAGCGCGAATAATATCAATTAACCGTAACAAATTCTGTCAAAAAAAGTCATATCTTGTGATCCTATATTGTTTCAGATTTTCACTGATACGATGTTGTCAGCTTCGTGGTTAGGATGACAGAATGAAATTCGTTTTCTTTCAGCTTCTACCATTGTAGATGAAAAAGTAAAGGATGGTACTATAACGGATATTGTTATTACTGAAAGGGAAAATGACGATGCTAAACACCAGAACGGCGATGCTAAGCAACAGAATGACGATGCTAAGCAACAAAATGGCGACTCTAGGCAACAGAATGGCGATGCAAAACAGCAAAATGGCGGTAACAAAAAACAAAACGAAGACACTTCCAGTTCCGGCGAAGATAAACTGGAGGAGAAAAAAGAAGACGCACCGGCAGTTGGCGTTTTTGAAATTGTATGTTCAGGGATGATCAATGCACAGTTTTTATTTGTCCTCAGCTTTCACTGCGCAATTTACACGAGTTGCGTTGACACCCTAAGTTTAGTAACAAGCACATCCCCAGTATTACCCTCAAACCCTCATAATATGACAATTCAATGAGTCATTTTTCGCACTCTTCGAAATCCAAAGGACAAGTTCTTCATATATCAAATGAAGTTTAGAAAATTTTAACATTTATCACGGGAGGATAGACGGTTTCAATATATTTTTTGTTTTTGATGAGTTGATAAAGTCGCTTTTAGATCAATGGAAACAAGTAGGGAAATGTTAATCTGAGGTATATTCATTGAATTTTCTTTTTTGTGTAAAAAGTTCATTGACCAGCTAAAGCATACACAATGCCACTCGGTATTTCTCCTTTTACCCTAAAAGGTCTTAGTTCCGGTCACAGAGAAACTTACTCTCTAATTGAAGTGAAAAGGAAATAACTTTAAGATCACCATTTGGCAGACCCAAAGAGTTGCTTATTGATTTTTGACTAACGTTTGCAACTAAAAATGCTTTTAAATAGGAGTTCATTTTACAAATAGGTGATTTGACACGTCTTAATCTTTGGAATTGAAGCTTTATTGAAATATAAATAATAAAAAAATAAATGCTCCATTTTAATTATTCTAATTTAATATGTTCGTGCTGTCCTTTTTATTTGGTAGCTACCTACTTGCTTTGATAATGCTATTTGATTCTATTTTCGAATACGTGATACTCGTTTATTGAAGTTTACTGCTTGACTAACCCTCAAATATACTTGTTAACCATATAAGAGAAAATGAATAAATCACCAACATCATATAGATGAAAAGTTAAAACAACAATGCTTTCTTTGTTTCAGTTCAAATTTGCAGACAAGTGGGATGTCATTATGATGATAGTTGGTGCCTTTGGCGCCGTAGCGCACGGCATAGCATTGCCTTGTCTTATCATCGTTTTTGGCGAGATGACCGACTCATTTGTGGACTCAGGAAAATATTCTGGGATTTTGACTGACATCGCACTGTTTCTCACTAATGTGGGGATCACTCGCGATCAAGCACTGAAAGCGCCTTCCCTTCTGCTGTATGTATATATTGTATATCTCCCATAAACACTGTAGGTTTTCTTACTAACGACTCATTGGATAAACCTCCTAGAAGTAGGTAAGCATTTTAGTGACATACAAATGGGTACCACTCTGGTCGTTATTTCATTGGTCAATCTTTGTATTAATCTTCTATTGAAACTTCATGATCCATGGTAATTGCTTTACCCCCCTTCCGACATAATGTATTTCTTAATGAAACATGGGGTTTACAGTTAAAAAATGAACGTTATAGGAGAAACATATCCCTGGTGGGTGGAGCCCACTTATGTCTACATAAACGTTATCGTGAGTAAGAGGTTTTCATTGGATGAGTGTATTGCACGATTTTTCGTCTACTTCCCTGCACGTATCATCCAACTCCCCAATCCTAACTCACTCTTCACACATCGCTCGGACAGAACAGTTCATATGCTTGACAGCCCTGGTAAGTCTTTGTCTATGTCTTTGTGTAACTTACATCATGTAACGTACATTAACTGTTGTCCATTTGTCAGTATAGACCGTAGCTAGTTCTACTGTATATTTCCTGTGTTCCTGTCAAATGTCCAAGTCTATGTATTGTATGTTTTAGGTTCCCTTTTCCCGTATATAAAGAACTATTTGAAAAAAGAAACGAATCTGTCTTGTTATACTAGACTACATGGTTACAAATGAGGCCCCACGTTGGACGCCATTTGTATCCAAGTTGTCTAGTATCCAAGAAGTCTAGAATAACAAAAAGACAGACTCGTTTCTTTTTCCGTATATAAAGAACTATTCGAAAGAAGAAACGAGTCTGTCTTGTTGTTACATTTGTAAAATATGAAAATAAAATAAACATGATAACAACACCTCACGGGTTTGGGAAAACTCTTTATATACTGAAGTAGATATGCTTATCTGAGATTCAAACTATTGTGACTTAGTTATAATGTTTTCACATTTGATGCGACCACTGTTTATCGCTGCATTGTTTCGATAGTTCTTTGTGTGTTGGTGTGGGAGTATATCGTTTCTTAGTGTTTTGACACTTTAGTGTCTTTTCTTGTTAAAACTGTGGTATCTTTTAAAGTATATGTATTTCTACATTGTAGACCCTACTTAACTGACATAAAGACAAACTACACCACAGTGGACACTACAGTGATACAGAGACAAGTGGACAACGACTTCCTTGAAGACATGGAAAAATTTGCACTGTATTACGTTGGTAAGTACAATAGAAATTACAAGAGTTTATATGTTGAGGTTCATGGTATTTTTCGTTTTGTTATGGCGTCTCTTTATAAGTTCTTGTTTTTTTATCGATTTTGATATTGTATTCGTTCTTGTGTGTTGGCGACGCAATACATATACATTTTCTCTCTTGTTTAGTTTATAATGAATCCTCTTCAACATTTTTTATATAAATTTTTAAAGATGTCACAACTTTCAGTTTTCTGTTTTTCCCATTGTGTTTTCGCAATGTACTGATAGAAATGAATAAATGGATACATGTGCAAATATTCTCAACAGATATAACAGTGAAACAAATACTCATATAAATTAATATTTATTCAGTAAAAGTTATACACAACAACACCCTTTTCATTTAAGTAGATAATTTACAAAGTTGATATCTATAATTTACGTACTTGTCTTACCCATCATATACAGTTTTTATCGTTTTTAACTAACTAGACCCTTTGATATGTTTTATATCGTATAATGACATAAGCTTTTCCTGATGCAATGTATTTACATTTTCAGCCATCGCTGTTGGTGTTTTGGTATGCGCATACTTTCAAGTCACATTTTGGATTCTTTCTTCTGAACGGCAAATCCATAGAATACGAAAGGCGTTCTTTCGGAACATAATGCGACAGGATATAGGCTGGTTTGACACACACGAGACGGGAGAGCTGAACACAAGGCTCACCGAGTGAGTATGAATCACATATATAGGCATGAAACAATTGCGGAAAATGCACAGCAAGATCGGGGATCGAACCCGAGACCCTCCAAACTCTAGGCGGACGCTCTACAAATTGAGCTACCTGGTCACCTCCGATACAACACTTTATACAACCCAGAATATGTTATCCCCTTGTCAAGCATTCAATCCTTTTTGTCTTTTTCAAGGCAATAAAAAAATTGTTTAAACCAAGCATTCACCAAGTTCTTGAAACAAGGGTTGGCCATAGGCACCTAATGTAACAGGAAACGGAGAAATAAACGGCCAGTCCGGTGTTCGAACCCGGGACCCTCCGAACTCCAGCAGATGCCCTACAAGTTGAGCTACCTGGTCGCTGACGATCGCCCCAGTCCATTTCCGCTACAGACCAATTTTGTTTATCTTGTTTATTGGTAGCTGACAGGGTAGACCAGAACTGTTCGTTAATAAAAATACAACATTCCAGTTGATGCAGTACTTTTTTCTTCACAGTCTCAGTTAAAACATCATAATGATATACAAATACTATTAGTTCCTGCAAAATATTTTCCTGCATTATTTGAATCTGAAGTTAACTTGCCGTTCTTCCATACAATGACTTTAGTGTTCTTAGAAACGGAACACGTTTTTATACAAGTTGTTCTCACTAGTTCTAGTAGCTTCGGTTTATCAGTCATCATACCCAAATTGTTTCACTGAGATTTTAAGCTTAACTGAAGATGCCACATCATTTTATTTCTGTGGTAGTGTAGTTTAGATATTATTGTAGAAACGCAATAAAATATCATTAGCTGGATGTGTATTTTGTTATGTATGTTATCATTTCAGATATTGAAGACGAATATCATTTTATTTTAATATGTAACAATTTTCATATTCTGAGAGTAAAATACATAAAACCATATTACTGGCGAAATCCTTCAATGTTTAAACTTGTACAGTTACTAAGTGCTGATAATATCAGCGTTATTCGTAAACTTGCTAGATACATTTTTGAGGCAAATAAGGCACGAGTGACGTAAACATGCACATCAATATAATTTATATAAATGTCTATTTATGTATTATTGACATTTGTATCGTTACGGATTACATGTTGTTGTAGTTAATGTCAGATGTTAATGAGGCTGCTGATGATGATGATGATGAAGAGGATGTGGATGATGATGATGATGATGATGATGATGTGAGAGCGTTAATGATTGTTGAATGCACAATAATGAAGTGGGAGTGATAATGAGTGTTGATTGCATAATACATATACGTAATTTGTAATTTATTGTAAAGTATAGTTATCCAATAAGTTGTCAAATAAAAGTTGAATTGTGTGTGTGTGTGTGTGTGTGTGTGTATGTGTGTGTGTATCATATTGTATGTTGTCTCTGTATTGTTTTGTATATATGTTATGACTGATAAGTCAACCGAATAAAAAGTATAAAGAACTTGAACTATCCGAACCAAGATGTTTTGAAATGGCCTATTTAAATGTATTACGGAGAGAGGAGGGACGTCATACAAAAGTCCCTAAAAATGGTAGTGGCTATTCGATGCTTAGCGTTCAGCATAAAGGGACATTACAACAACCAGTTCATCCGTTGTCAGTATAATGTGACTAGGTAAAATGTCGTGTTTGGTGCTTTCGACATGTTAATTCAGTGAGATAGCACTACAAAATCGGCATCTACTCCCCGCTATCACAGGGAGGCAAATACACCATCACACACTGTCTAGGCACACATACACACGTACAGGCATACACAACACATATGGAGGCACGTCCTTAAATGACCTTAGCTGTTATAGGACTTTAAACAAATAACCCTAACCAAACTTTTAGGGAGAAAGTATAATGCACACATTATTTTTTTGTGCGTACTCGAGTTAAATAGGGTAAGTTTTACTTTTTGATCATTATGCTAGTTGAATGCATTACTATTTGGATGTATTTGATAATTTGACATAATATTATTAATATATGACGATCACTTAAACATTTGTATGATCATCACTTTACAATATTATCCCAATATATATGCTTCATGATAACTGAGTAGCCTAGCGGAATGAGCAGAAGTAATTATTACAAGCTTTGATAGCAAGATGGTACATTAATGCTTGGTTGCATGATATTCTTGTGTGGACAGGCAGTAAAGATAATATCTATTTTTATAATATTAACTCATTTTTTTTCCTGTAGCGATATAAACCAGATTCACGAAGGCATAGGTGATAAAGTGAGTACATTTCTCCAGTGGTTCTCGTCCGCCATTGCAAGCTTCATCATAGGGTTCATATATGGATGGCAACTTACACTGGTCATGTTGTCGGTGGCGCCACTTCTCGGCGTGGCGGCGGGCGCTATGTCCAAGGTAGGTAACTCCTGACATTCGTATTCTGCGTGTAATATATTTTCGAAAGCAAAATTATTCAAACAAAATCAAAGAGGTATTTGTTGGGTAACTGGGAATTAATGTTTTCGTTGATAGGTACAAAAAAAAAGGCGAGTTCGTAGGTAGTGGAAAGGTATTGGCAAGTGAGCGCGTTTGTTGTGGGTTAAAAAACGGGAAAGTGAGCTCGGCTATCGTTAACAGGTACTGAAAGTGAGTTCAGTTGTCGTTAAAGATACGAAAAATGGGTTTGGAAGTCGTAAATAGAGGTGCAGAAAGGTGGGCACGCGAAGTATTGGCAATCTATTGGAAAACTAATGAAAGATTTGAAGATCGTTACAATTGCTTGGTATAGCTTAAACCACTTAGTCATTATGGATTTGTCAACATTTAGCTTTAGAAAAATAAAGGAATAACATATAAACAGTTGGTTATCAGAGTTTAAATGTTTGAACAGATAATGGCGTCCATGTCGTCGAAGGAGCTAAGTGCATATGCCAAGGCGGGCGCAGTGGCTGAGGAGGTTCTCGGCTCAGTCAGGACCGTGGTGGCCTTTGGAGGTGAACGTAAGGAGTGTCAAAGGTGTGTAAAATATCATCCCTACCATATAAGGTCAACAATACAATATATGGTAATATGTGTCATCCTATAAAAGGTCGGAGAGTGGGACTCCAGTCATATACTTTTTAAGTATTTTCATACCGAAGAACGTAGGGGAATGCTCTATTTAAGACAGCTGTAATATATATTTATTTTCTATATCAAATAACTTTGAGTATGGTCATACAACACAAACTAAAGTATTGTCATCAGCTATTTGGTCTTAATACGATATAAGATAACGAATGTCATTCTGCAAAAGGTTGGGTTAAAGACAAATAACATCAGATACATTATTGCTATATTGTATGATGCAGATTTATTTTTTACAATGTAAAACAAATAAAAATTATATTACGTTCACACCACATATACAGTAAAGTATCGTTCACATACAAATAAATCATTGAGGTTTTTCATAAAATCAATATAGTTTCATTTACATGGTATAATTGTCGCTACGTATACCATATAACATTCATTTGAAGGGATATGTATCCGCACGGGGTAGGGTACTTCTACCATTACGTGGCCACCATCAATAAACTGATTATGCTGGTACAAGTCTGATGCGGGGTTTGGGGAGTTTTGGAGGGGGCTTATTTTTGTTTTCTGTCTGTTGTTATTCCATTCGATGTAAAGTATGATATCGTCTTACGCTTTTTTTCTTCCTTTGCTAACACTTCGCCAGTTTGGCCTGTGATACTTAATAATGATTTGGATTAGTAATGCTGTCAAGATATTATCAATTAAAGTTAAGTAAAATTGACAAAAAATGTAAATGTACATACAAAACAAGAATCTGAGTAAAGAGTTCGTGACTGTTTTGGAAATTCCTGAAATAAAATAATTGAAATATAATCAGCTCAATGGAATAATGTTTAAATCAAACAAATCATTAATGTTTTCCACTTTGACAGGTACAACAAGCACTTAAAAGAGGCACGTGACATTGGTGTGAAGAAGTCGTTAGGTAACGGCTTGTCCTTTGGTGTGACGTATATGTTGATTTTCCTTACTGACTCCCTCGGGTTCTGGTATGGTGCAAAGCTGACAAGGGATCAGCCTGATCTCTACAGCCCTGGGACTATCCTCATTGTGAGTAACAATCGACAGAGTCCTGATAAAACATTGTTTTCAAGTTCTTTTTAGGACCCAAATCAACCCCGATCTTGATTGGTCAACCTCTGTTTCTAGGGAGCTTTGAAACTGCAATCTCTGTGGCCGCTACAACTCTTCCACTAACAGGTGCTTAGCTGTGATGGCAAAATTGATACCCTTAGCGAGTACTTTGGTACATTTTAACATCCATTAAGGGGCGGAATTGGTAAACATATAACCTACCTGCAGTATTAGAGCGCAATATTAGGCGAAATGTCTCAATGATGTTTCACAGCTGAGGTAGCTTATTCGGCACACTGTGGCTCAGTAAATTGTTTTCAGCGATTTTGAGTCGATATACCGGTCATTTACTCTATTTGCTTGACAAAGGAATCAGACGTTGTCGAAAGATCGCAATATAAATGTTCAATTCCTGTTTGTTTCCAAAACACACATCCTTTATCATTCATACCAAACTGATGTATCTTATTCCTAATTCATGGCTTAGGTAACACATTAAAATATGTTTTACACATTCCTAGCTCCAGAAAAAAGGTACCTATATGTAAATGTATATTAAATAGCAAATAGGGACCAATGACCCTATTAAAATGCTTACGGTAAAAGGGACAAACATGGCGCAGGCAATATTTGTAGGCAATTATTTTTTTCCATTAGAGCTCCAGCATGGGAAAAGCATAATTAGCCAACACAAATCCACCAAAACACTTAACATTATACTGAAAGTTGAGCGAACATGTTAAGTTAACGAAATGTTCTAACATAATGTTAAGCAGCTTACACCTAGTAAAATAGGAAAAGGAAACAACGACTGACACTAAAAATACATTTTCTTTTAATTGTTTTTGTTGTTCACAACATGTTTTTGGATACTGCCAGTGCTGGCCTGGTTTCAGTATCCTTACAATTATTCATTCATTCGTTCATTCATTTTCATTCATTCATGTAATATTTATTCATTCATTCATTCATTTATTAATTCCGAAAATATCTCCGCTATGAGTTAAAAATAATAACAATGGTAATTATAATAGTCAGTAAGAATACCTATGTTTATAATCGTACTGTGCTATGTTATAAAATACAAGGAACTAACTGTAAGTCAGACCCTACCGGAAGGTTTGCGTCTCCAACTGCTATTGCCGCGAAAAAAATGCTATCTTGTCTTACCCCAGTTGTATTTTTTAGGTATTTTTCAGCATCGTTATTGGTGCCTTCGCTATGGGCAATGCCATGCCCAACCTACAGGCTTTATCCTCTGGTAGAGGAGCAGCTTATATGGTTTATAAGCTTATTTCACTGGCAAGTAGTCTGTCACCTTTTTTTGAACATATACCAACAAATTTCTCAGAAAACTACTTTTCAAGAATGCCAGGATTGGGATTGAATATTACAAATTATATGATTAAACTTAAAATTATTAAACCAATAAATCATATATAATGTACTTATTTTGATATTCACTCGATTTATTTGGATCACAGTTGAAAAAATGCATATGAATGATAAATATGCCAGAGAAAATTAGTGTTATTGGAAATGACAAGTTGTGATTATCCAAAACAATAAAGAAGTTTCTGTCAAATTAATTGATATGTTTAACATTCAAGATATTATAATTAATTATTTACTATTCAAAACGTTGATCTTATTTACGTAATATATTTTTCAATTAATTTGAAGTAGTTTACTATTAAACATTTTTTTCTCTCTAAAAAAACCATTTTGTTTTCAACTAGGTGTTATAAACATTCATGCTTTCGAAATTGACAGGTTCCTGTCATTGACAGTAATTCCGAAGAAGGAAAGAAGCCAGGGAGTGTCGAAGGTACTATCAAATTTCAGAAGGTAAAATTTAGGTATCCAGCACGTGAGGATGTAGTTGTTCTTGATGGCATTGACCTTGCTATCGATAAAGGTCAGACGGTTGCCTTGGTTGGATCAAGTGGATGTGGAAAGAGTACTGTCGTACAGCTTCTTCAACGGTTCTACGACCCTCAAGAAGGACAGGTCAGTATTCCATGGGTCAAGTTGGTTTATGGAATAATTTCCCAAAATATTAAATTTTGAAAACGAAATTACTCGTATAGGGGTCCAAAATAATCATCAAATCATGAAATACAACATACAAATGCAACAGTTGATCAGGTTTTCAACACAGCTATCCCCAATATTTACTGATAACGATTGATACCAATAAAAAAAGTGTTATTGAATATCAAGATATGATGGTGTGTCACCTTGAAACGCATAGATCATACACCAGTTGACATATTTGGTTTGTTTGTATTTTTCGTAATTCTTAGCATGCAGAACTTTCAAAAATAGTTAATGAACGTCCTGTTCAAGTTTTTTTTTTTCTTATAAATATTGTTTTCCTTAATTGTTTTTGTTTTTTTGACTTATGGCTTGGCATCACAATTGCCGATAATGACTGTTGGGTTATGACTATATGGAATTATTTTTACGTAGTTTTTAGAGAGATATTGAAGCGGTTTCTTTTCTACGTTTGTAGATTCTGATAGATGACGTCGACATAAAGGAACTGAATGTAAAATGGTTACGACAGCACATCGGGATCGTGAGCCAGGAACCGATACTTTTCGCCACTACCATTGCAGAAAATATCCGTTACGGCCGAGAGGGCGTCACCGATCGCGAGATCGAGAATGCTACCAAGATGGCTAATGCTCACAACTTCATCATGGATCTCCCGGATGTACGTGACAGGTTTTGAAGCTGTCGTTGATGTCTTTTGTGTCAGCGCAGTGTTTATTTGCACATACAAAATTTAGCCTGCTAAAATGTTTTTTTTTTTGTAATGTTTATTTTGCACTCATAAACAAGTTCCATGTTCTATTTTGTCCGATGAGGCGATGTATGTTCAAGATAATTTTATACAGTTTTTCAGTAATGAATGGTTATGGGATTGGTTATGGTCCATTTGCGCAGTTACATTTTTGCGATTTCTTTGGGGAAGTTTTGAATTCGCACAGTAATAAAGTTTTCGGTATCAACATTCATAGTGTTATTCAAAATGTAGTTTCCACTTTTTCCACCACAGGGATTTATTACACCGCATGAAAACCTTCGCAAAATGATGCAAGCTTGAACATTGCCTTGTTTGCATCACATCAAATCAGTTATTACAGTATAAACAATAACGTATTTCAGAAATACGAGACACTGGTTGGAGAGCGAGGAGCTCAGCTGAGTGGTGGTCAGAAGCAACGAGTGGCTATCGCACGTGCCCTAGTCAGGGATCCACGTATACTCCTACTGGACGAAGCCACGTCGGCCCTCGACACTGAGAGTGAGGCTGTTGTACAAGAAGCTCTCGATAAGGTTAGAAGTCTAAATGGAAATGACGGGAATTTCGAAAGCTACATTCATTTCATCTACCTCATGAATTTCCGTCCCTCACTTAGAAACTTCAATAACAGTTACCAAGAGTATCAAACACAAAATATGTTTTAAACATTATATTGCATTTACCTTTCAGCGTTGTCATGCAATTTTAAATATGTGTATGCATACCCATTTTTGTAGTGCAAAATAGTTTTCTTCTTCTGCTAAGTGTTGTTTCGGGTGCAGCAGAGCTTCACGAGAAGTACCGATTTCAGCTAGAATTTGATGGCATTATTATTATGTATATATTGTATACAGTAAAAATATAGTTGTGCCTATCAAACTTTACTTATGATTTGTACAAGGCTCGAGCAGGCAGGACCACCTTAGTTGTTGCACATCGACTGACTACAATTAAAACCGCGGATACCATAGCTGGTTTTAAAGATGGCGTCATAGCCGAGAGGGGAACCCATGACCAATTAATGCAGAAGGGCGGTATCTACAGTACACTTGTCAAACTGCAGGTATGTTCTTGTGATTATTTCAGAAGAACATGAAAACATCAGTAAAGCACGATTCAAACACTAAATGGTAAATGTCGGTCTAAAAGACAGGTTGTTTTTCTGCCGTTCACCAAAATGCATGCTTTTGAGAGAAAAGAATTTCTAAATGTGTAATTTCGTCTTCGTTTTTCTCTGATAAATGTTAAATACTCATCTAATTTGCTAAATGAATGAAAAATAAATATTACTTAATATAAGTTAAATTCGTCTTACACGGTACCAAGTAAATAGTTTTAAATGTATAGGCAAAAAGCAAAAACCAGAATTTATGAAATATTCAACTTTTACAAGTTATACAGAATATGTTTTTTATTTCTTCTACATGTATGACTGATATAAGCTTAATAATCATTGTCCTTATTTGCATGATTTTTTCTTGATGAGTATCAGCCTCTTATTGAGTGTTCTCTTTACTTTCAGACGAAGAGCTCAGGAGGTAATATATATATTTAGTTCGACGTAATGCTCTAAACTATTTCGATTGTTCCCTCGTATCAAAACAGTGTCCACTCATTTCACTATTTATAATAACACAAAACTGTTATTGTTGAATATTGCAACTGCTAACATAATGGATACTTAGACTGGCCTTTTATTTGTCCAAGTGTAATACTGTTTTTCATTCACATTGCATCATATAGACGGTGTGATATGATACGATGCCTATCCAAATATTTTATAAACACGGATTTTCAAACGTTTTCATAATATCTACTTTAAATATGGCAAATATCATGAACAGGTCTTAAACGTTTCAGTTTAATATATCTCATTCGCGCTGTTAGAGTTCATAATCATGAGCGACAAATTGCGTAATAAAGTTTCAATACACATCATATACATTTGTATACACAAATAGGGGGAAAGCAAGTGCCACAGAGCCCTTATATTATGTTATAGAAATTTAAACGCAGTAAAAAAATAATTTGTCATGACACGTGTCGATTAATCATCTGCTTGGTGAATGGTGCCTTCTGAGACCTTTTGGTTAGGCACATGCACATCAACCAGCTATCTGATGAATTTTGTGAGGTTGGTCACGTCAGGAAAAACAATAAGATACTCTTAAATGTATTGTTTAAGCAACTATAATGTTATAATAAGATATTTCAAGTTTTGTAAATTCTATCTTAACTTACAAAAGGTGACAATAACCTGCTTGAGAAGGCGACAGATACTGGGAATAAAATACATCACACAGTTGGTGGGATAGACGCAGACGCTGGCAAGGATGATGCTGAAAAAGAGGCAAGTACTACATCGTATGTTTGGATGGAAGAAACTGCAGTATGTTTCATGTAACGTTCACATCTTCAGTAATATTACCTGTAATATATGCGCCAAGAGATCACTGAGCGATAGTTTAGGATCCCCTTACCACTGCCAAGAATTGAAACTATACATTGGGAAGGGTTTCTACGGCATGACTATACCTTTGGTAATCATTACTGAAATAGAAAGCATACCTTGCGGAATGTTTATGTAAACACATCAAAACGATGAAATAAATCAAAATATATACAACGGTGTTATCACTGTTATGCATGTAAAATATAATTGGACCAGAACAATATTCAAACAATTGAACGCCGATCACTATACTGTCGCTATAACTAATGTGATAGCTAAGGGGTATGATGGGAAAATACTGCCTTACTTGCAAGCTAGATTTTCCAACTGTGCGGTTCAGCAACGTCGAGCGTGGTCAGTAGTTGGATTGGTGACCGCCCCTACGAAACACCAACTGAGCTTAATGGTCAACAGACGTATATCCTAAACAAGTTGAGCTTCATGTTAAAAAAAACACGTTAATGCCAAAGTGTCAACAAAAACGCAAATCGAACTCAAAATCGATAAAACTAGGAGGAGAAATATGAACACGGGAAAGATTAACAGGGAAGAAATGAAATAAGAACAAAGATAATAAGACCATGTGTTCTGGAGGGTAAGCGTCTCCTCCTCATCGATAGCATCCGCCATGTAATTCTAGGTCAAATCCAAGTCATGTCACGTCCTCGCATCGAGAACTCGAGAACTGTTGACAACAAAATCAGAAGGCACAATAATGAGCATAATAAAAAACTTCGAACTCCATATCACACAAAGAAATACAATGTTTCCCTTTGAGATTCTTATCATTGTTCTTACAATCCATTCTCAAATTCTAACGTTTCAGTGTCGTCAATTAAAAGGACTCATTTATTATGTTTTACATGTAGTCGAAAACCTTTTTCATATTTTCACAGATTTGACGGGAAACATCATAACCCCTACAATATGTACAACTTTTGGCGTAGGAATTTAAACATGTTCCCCTTTTTTACTCAAATTTTTCGCTTGAATCGATATCAGTTCCTTAATTGTTATTTACCTCCACAACGTTATCTCATTGACGTCCTATATATTCATATGGAGCACAACGTATATTTTCAAAATATATTTTGACACTGTTGTATCGTTTTATGTTTTTTTTGCAAAAAAAACCCCAACAGGTCACAGATATCATGATATGTAGAAGTACCAACATAATCTTGTTAAATATTTATGACCATGTTGTTCGTTATACGTGAGTAAACAAAAGTAGAAGTGCTAAGAACGTATCCTGATGGCATTGAATATAGGTTTGTATATTTTCATTTTATTCTACAGGAGGAAATTAAAAACAAAGGGTCGTTTGGAAGGATTATGCGCATGAATGCCCCTGAATGGTATTTCATCATCATCGGCTGCATTGGAAGCATCATGTTTGGTGCTGTTCAGCCAGCTTTTGCCGTCCTTTTCGCCGGGATTCTGGAGGTTAGTAGCATCCTGTTATATTTTTCATTGTCAGATTTTTGAGGTTTACTCTTAGTGTTATACGAAAAAAGGAGTAGCTGATACCTTCCTTTTATATTCATTTTATCATACTGAATGTGAAAAATTGTGAATATTTTCTTCTATTGTTTTACGTTACGAATTATTTCGTGTTGTCAGCATCTACCACAAAACAGTCGTACAACGATACGTTTATTTTTACAGCATAACCTTTTACGTTCACAATTAATAATATCATGTACAGACGTATACCACCCACATATGATGCCTTTTATATGGATATGAGACATACTTAATTACATGTACGCTTAGTTGTGTGAAAATGGCAATTAAAATTACTGGGATGTATTCTGTAGATAGAAATTAGTAATATTGCATTGATGATAAACAATTCTAATGGGGTGTTTCCGGTTCTTAAATCAAAACAGACTAGAACATATTATCTGGATCATCACAAAGTATTTTTAAGTAAATCGCTGGTGAATTTTTCGTACTATTTTGTGTTTGTATAGGCATTTGCGTCAACAGATACTGAATACCAGAAAAGAGAAATTGCAAAATACGTCGCCATTTTAGTAGGGATCGCAGTGGGAAGCTTTATTGCTTTGACTCTCCAAGTAAGTATTTCACCAAGTACAGAGTTGAGGTATAAGATATTTTATTTAATCATAATATTTGCAGTTCAGTGTATGTATTCTAGGAAAATAACGCCAATTTATATACATTGTGAACCGGAACAATCTCTTGATATCTATGTTCTGACAAAATCCCGGAAAAAACCATTTCGTCAAAATTGAACAGCCATTGCGATCGTTGTTGCATTTTGGAATATATATGATTTTTAAGTGCAAAATACTTAGATGGGTAAAAAGGTGTTCATTGTTGAAAATATTTTGTTTGAATAACAATTTAACATATGAAATATCAAATAGAATTTTTTTTAAAAGAGTGTTATTTCTACAAGTAATCCAGAACTGTCTAAATCGAACGAAACAGTCAACAGTTGCAGACAGCAACACTGATGGTATAGCAGTTAGGTGTTTAATCAATAATAACAGTCCATTATTGTACAACTTAAACTAGCTGCTGTGTGTATTTCGTAACATTGCGATTTCAGTAACATTGAGCTTTACGCAAAGTTTTACTTCGGGGACTTGTTTTTTTTTTTATAAAAAGTAACGAAAACACTTTCATAATAAGTAATTAGCTGTTTTTTTGTTTGTACATATATATCAGTTTATTCACGTTATTCTGCATCCTCAAAATTATAGGTGCGTACTCATTTACGTCCTCCTGAATAAATCATGACGAAATCGAAGGCTTTGTATGCGCCACATTATGGATGTTACAAGTAGACTATTTCGATCCTCTGATTTACATCAGAGTAATCGCTCGGCAGCGTAACCGTTCTAAAGTCGGGTGTCTCTCCTCTGTAACATTCAAAGAACAGAAATCAGTATATTGATTGGTCGTTATATTTTAACCCAAAAGCAATCAAATAGCTAACTTTCGATTATGTCACATTATGTTTGAGGGATACTCAGAACGTAAGTGAGTGTAACCCTGGCGTATCGAGAATAATTACATTGTCCAATGTAATGGTTGGTAAATACGACAATACCGAAGTGTAAACGAAACCACATCTCGATATACAAACTCGATGACACTAAACCTGTGGAAACCAGGATTTGTACAACAGGGTATATCGGTATGAAAATTAGGCTAGTATAATTCAAAGATAGACGAATAGACAGTCTAAGTAGTGTTGAGTTTAGACAGGTTTCGTAATATACCTTTGTAAAGATTGTTTTTGTTTTGTTTTCGTTCTATATGAACCTAACTGTTATCTGTTAATAGGGATACATGTTTGGGAAATCAGGTGAAATCTTAACTATGAGACTACGAAGTATGAGTTTCAAAGCCATGCTTAGACAGGTAAGTATTTTCTTTACATAGGAACAAAAAACAATCAATTTATTGTAAAAAGAAAATATAAGAGAAAATATTTTTAACTTGTACAGAATTGAGAAAATTCATAATACATTACTTTAACCCTTTTTACACATAATATGTGCACTCTTTAAAAAAATGGACCAATTTCTTAATCGGCTATATTATCCTGTTTACTGCATGAAAATGGCAGAAGAGTAAAAAACAGATACATGTAACTAAAGATGGCGTCCAGAAAGTGTATACATGTATATGAAAATTGGAATTCAATTATTTTCATTGAAATTATTCTATTTAGTAATTATTGATAATGATGCTGATAGACAATACCATTAACGGATATCATAACAACACGTCAAATTGTAGGAAATAGCGTACTTTGACGACCATAAGAACAATACAGGAGCGCTAACCACGAGGCTGGCCACAGAAGCATCTGATGTCAGGGGAGTAAGTTATCTTTTCCGTTAAATTAATTATATTGAAGAGGCTTGAAACTTGAATCTGCTGAATATTCATTCATTCCTGTTAATATTGATGATATTTAAACAAATTATAAATATACCTGTATTCTAACAATTATTGTTTGCCATCTTGACATATAAAACAAATCTGTTATGTTAAACTTTCTTCTCATAGAGTGTGTATCAGTGTCATTAGACAGATACATGGTAAAATTTCACCCTAGAGTAATTACTGGTAAAGGTTATCATTATGTTAGTTAATTGAAGATTTGCGTTTAAATCGGTGTCTTACATATTGTCCGCAAATGCCGACAGTTTAATCACGATATACAACCGCAAACCGAACAAAAACGAAAAAAATAAATAAAAGGTTATCCCCTTTATATAAACGCAATGAAATGGGATTCTTCCATGAAGCACTAGCATACACTAAAAGGGATATGCACGACCTAGTTTAATGTAACAAAAGCTATAAATTTACTGATCACACATTTGTATAGCGTAATTGAAAAGTACCATCGCAAAATAATTTTAGATTAAACAAAACAAATATTAGCAAATAATATAATACAGTAGCACAAGATTAAATTGGCTAACATCCACAACTCGGTAGTAATGGTTCATTCATTTATGACTGAATTTGGCATGTTATGTTTTACTTAGTGTTGGTTTCTATTATATTACATAAGCTCCTATCCCATATTGTCTTCTTCATTAATAAAGTGTTCTGACATGTATATAGCACCATGCGGCTTCAGCAGCATTTCGACCTCAGTCTTCTCTGACGAGATATTATTAATCAAAACATGGATATTTGTTACTTTGAAGTTTGTATTTCTTATTAACGATACTTGTGTCTAACAATGATTTTGCAATTATTGATATTGCAATGTTTAAATTGTATTATGGTTTCATTTGTTTCAGTCATCGGGAGCAAGAATGGGCAAGCTCTTAGAAAACATAGCTAACATGGGAACGGCCCTAATCATATCATTTATATATGGGTGGCAGCTTACCCTAATCATCATAGCGTTCATACCCATCATAGCTGCCGCAGGAGCTCTTGAATTTCAACTCCTCTCGGGAGTAGCTGGCAAGAACAAAGAGGCACTAGAGGGCGCTGGCAAGGTAGCAACAGAGGGCATTGGGAACATCCGAACGGTAGCAAGCTTAACAAAAGAGGAGACTTTTTTCAATCTGTACGTTGCAGGTTTAAATACACCGTACACTGCGGCGAAGAGGAAGGCTCATTTGATAGGAGTGGCGTTTTCGTTCTCACAATCCGTAGTTTTCTTTTTGCACGCAGCGGCCTTCTACTATGGTGCCTACCTCGTCAGGGAGGGCGAAATGGAATTTGATGACGTATTCAAGTATGTCTGGGAATGTGATATGTACATACAAAACATATTGTAAAAATTGTAAAAATGAATTGCCTGCCCTATTTCCAACAAACTTTCTATGGTTCCTCCCAAAACCATTTCCAAAACTTTACACACGTATTTTGTAATATTATTATCACTCTTATTGAATGAATTATATCTTTATCGAAACGAATAGTAAACAAATTAAATATTGTCAAAATCTATATCCTTTCACGAACGATTGTTAATTGATTGTTGGATGTAAAAAATGACATCTATTTAACGCAAATACTTATCGTTCGAACTTTTATCAAATATTTCTAAAAGACTTAATAAGGGTATATTCCTGAACAAGTTCAACTTATGATGCATTTTACAGGAAAAATGAAACTAAATACGTCGGAACAGAAGTTAACATATAACATATACAACAGATATGAACACAAACAGTATGGGGATCGACCGTTGCACTGGTGATCATGCATATGTTGCAATCAAGATGATTGAATGCAAATGATAAAAAAGACAAATGCCAATAAAAGTAGCGCTAAATCAAAAATAAACACTCCTTTAGATTGTTTGATCTTCTTCATGCTCATAAACGGGAAGAAACTCAAAGTTACAAAGAGCTCTTCAGAGGAACTCTTCTTCGCGACTTTAACCTGTACAGTGGAACCATTTTATCAACTCTTTTGATTTGATTACAGAGTATTTGCTGCTGTCGTGTTCGGTGCCATGGCTATGGGAAACGCAAGTGCATTTGCACCTGATGCTTCCAAAGCACAAGTGTCTGCAGGTCATATTTTCACATTGCTGGACAGAAAACCAATTATAGATACCGAATCGGATGATGGGATAAAACCAAATGATGTAAGTAAACATAATGCTGTTATAACTCCTGCATATCCTTTAAAACTGAAGTCAAACTTTAATTCACATATCCGCTAAAAGAAGCCGACTTATTCTCTAATAAACAGAAAAGTAGAATGCACGCCCAATGTCTTTGTGTAGTTCGCGGTATTCGTTTGCTACTTATGTGTTCTCATATACTAATTATCCTTAAGTATACAAAAGAGGTATTGTTATATCGTATATAAAAACTTTTTGAAATTTAGATTTCTTTTTCGAAAGAAAAACATATTTGACATATTGGCACGGTTATTACAGGAAAAATTCGACAGCAAGGTTACATTTGTAAACGTGGAGTTCCGGTACCCCACTCGACCCGACATTCAGGTGCTTCAGGGACTGAACCTAACGGTGGAGCCAGGTCAGACACTAGCATTGGTTGGGACCAGTGGGTGCGGCAAAAGTACGACAGTACAACTCATTGAGAGGTTCTATGACACTGAGGATGGATCGGTGGTAAGTTCGTGTTGCGAATGTGGGGACCACAGTGTGTGGCAAGCATGCCAAAAATACAAGGTCAAGATATCAGTCATGCAGTTGTTTTAATAATTGATTATAATCGCCTGGTTTATGTTTGGTGATTATTTCATGTATTTCGAGACTTTCCCCCGCGTTCCAAAAATAAGAATTACTAGGCAATCCAGAAATATCATCAGACTTCATTTGCTTACAATTTGCAATGTGATCACACAAGATACATATATAACTAATAATAATAGAATATATTTGTTGTTGTAACGTTTACCATACAAACTGGTCGTCTTCGCAATTGATACCAGTATACAATAAAAACGCGAAAATATAAATTTGAATTATTAAACGAAATTATAAATGTGCAATTGTTCCCATCACAGACGTACTAATGTTCCAGCAGTACATGTAGCAGGCATTTATGTTAATTGGATTTACCACAAAGAGAGAGTCATTGTTGTGTTCAGTAAGGACTGGTTTATGTTTATATTCATAATGGGCAAAATGTTTCGTTCTTGCCGCCAGATGCTGGACAAACACAACGTGAAGGACATGAATATCCATTGGCTACGATCCCAGATCGGTATTGTGTCCCAGGAGCCAGTGCTGTTTGACTGCAGCATTGCTGAGAACATTGCCTACGGCGACAACGATCGTGTGGTGCCAATTTCGGAGATCATCGAGGCTGCTCGCAAAGCCAACATTCACCAGTTCATCGATGCTCTACCAGATGTGTGTAAAGCTTCTAGTACCTTTTTCCTGCTTATCTGCGTTCTCTGCACCCCTAGAATACGTTATGACGGAATCGAATTTATGCGGTTTGCTATTTGATTTGATCAATCGCTAGGCTGATACAATTATCCTTTGAAAATTACAGAGGAGAGACACCCAACATTAAAGTTAGTATTTTTTTACCGCCACGCTGCCGCGCGATTCCGCTGATGTCCTTCAAATGATCACACTAATCTACTTCTATCATCAAAAAGTCGCTCGGACAGAGCATTGTATAATTATATATAATCCAGGGGTGCTGGGAACGTAACCTCTGTACTTTTGAGGAAGATCTTGGGTATGAACTGTGGATATTTTATTTATTTAGTATATGACATTATGTGCATTCCTAACGACCAATCAATTTAAGAAGTAAGAAGCAAAATAACGATCATGTATCTCCATTTCAACCTCCTTTTTATCCATGGTATACATATAATTTGTAAGTCGTATAGATAAACTCATTGTGATCACATATGTATTTCACGAAAATGTGTTAATTCGCAAGATGGATAGGTTGTACTAAAGAACAATAATAGAATCCATTACCTGTAACTGAGCGAGATCGGGTTGTTATCTCAGTCGAAGGCTAACATTCTGTAACCACCGAGGAATAAGCACATGATGGAAAAAATGTAGAGCAATGACCACATGAAGTTCTCGTACTTGCAGAGATGTTTTAAAAAGATAACAAAAAGTCTGTGTAATTTCTCTAATTCACAACCCGTGAACGACTACAACCTAGAAGAGATGTAATAATATTCACAATTGTTTAGACATTGAAGTAAATGGAACGCTTCTCTACGTAAATGATTGTGAGCATTGTTATTTTTCATTCGTACTTAATTGTGGTCTCTTTTGCAATTATTATTTCTAAAGAAATACTGACATATTCAAAACATTAGGGCATTATTAATGAGACTGCATCATTCACAGGGTTATGAAACCAATGTTGGATCAAAGGGGACACAACTCAGTGGAGGACAGAAACAACGAGTTGCAATTGCACGTGCGTTGATCAGAAATCCTAAGATACTGCTGTTAGACGAGGCCACATCTGCTTTAGATACGGAAAGTGAAAAGGTACAGTATAAAGACCATACCAACTAAACGTTTAGTCTTTTTAACGTGACAAGATGTATTGATTTTTAATCATGAGATAATGATATTTATAATATAACCGTGAAATTTTACTTCTTTTTTTTCTTCTAGAATACCGCGGATTCACATATGTATATATATATATAACACAACACGAAGACTATAATCGGCTATATATATTATAGTCTTCGTGTTTTGTTTTATTTATATTTTTACCGTCACGTACATGGACATTTAAAACTTTTTATTGCTATATATATAAATATAATGCTACAAATTTAATGGTTAATACAATAGATATGACTTCAATATTTCAAAGACCATTGCCTAAATTGTGAATTAAGTACTTGACTCAAATGGGAATGAAATAATATCAACAAACAGAGATAAACTAGATGTGCCCTTCATTATTTCAATAGTACTTATATTTATCACATAATATAATGTAGTATCTAGTGAATATACCCGTCATATTTGTTGCCTATTAACTCATGTAATATGATCTATCTGCCCTGTGACTTGTAAGTTTCAATCGTTTCAATTGTGACGTCACTTGTGACGGACAAGTACATGACGTCACAGACGTACGCACTGCTTTTTACATTTCAAGGTTGCATGAAAATTGTCGTTTTACACGAATGAAGCCACAAATCTTGATTATGTGATAAAAATGATCTTACACTCGTTTACATTTCATATAAGATTTAAGAAGCTCGTCACGAATTTTTCATTTTGAACAATTCTTAGACTCGTTTCATGGAAACTCATGTAAGATAAGATATATATATCAAGACACAATTGAACCTAAAATTACTCCATGCAGCTCCACGAATCGTTAACTACAGAATAAGGATTGGCTATGATGTGAGATGCTGATGCCTTTTTGTCGATTAGAAAACTCAAATAGGTGGGAACTGCTCATCGCTACATTGTGTTGTTTTAACGATACACGAAATTCATTTTTACATTACCATTGATAGCAGAATTCCGAGTTTTATTCATCGAAAATATTGTTCAACACCTTTTGTACATTTTCTATGTAAATATACACAAAATATACCACAACACACAAAGACAAAATCCACACTCATAGTCTATCCAAGGTTATCGTATAGCTTTTTAAATAGCATATGACATGCTTATATTATTTTAGGTTAATAAAAATAATTTCATTCCAGTTAAATGATATTTACTTTCGTTTCATAAAGGTTGTGCAGGAAGCTTTGGACAAGGCAAGAGAAGGCAGAACATGTATCGTCATTGCTCATCGTCTGTCCACTATCCGTAACGCTGACAAAATCTGCGTTATTAGGACAGGGAAGGTCATGGAGGAGGGTCGGCATGGAGACCTGATGGCCAAACAAGGCATCTACTTCAAACTCAATAATGCACAATCTGGACAAAGTTAACTAGTAGATCTAAAGCTTGGTACTGCATATACACTAAATGGGGCATTGTGGTTTAAAACAGAATTTATTTCATATTCATCCATCCACCATTTTGTCAACAGGATATAACCTGGTGGTGTAAAATGGAGTTAATTCCGAACTCATCAATACCCATTCTGGCCCCACACTTAATACATGTATACAAGTGTTCTACTAAACTCAAATTATGGGATTCAGCCCTGAATTGGAGTAAGAACTTGGGAATAGCTTGATGAATATCGGTCCCAGACTACATTGTGTTTTCTGCATTGGCGATTGGTTGAACTATTATTGTAGCTTTTATATCTTATACATATTCATTATGAATCGCATTCAAAAATTCTACTTTTGTTAAAAAAAAATGTTTCGATGTTGTACGTCAATATTTGTATAGAATTTAATGAACATGACTTTCTATTTCATGACAATCAAAAGAAATTGTCTGTATTTTCCGCATTGGCGATTGGTTAAACTAATATTATTGTAACTTTATATCATATTCATTATGAAGCGCATTTGAAGATCGTTGCTGTATATCAAAATTGTATAGAATTCAATGAACATTTCATTTACTGGACAATCGAAAGAAATTGTTTGGGCGCATCGAAATTCTTTTACCTTGTGTATACGATACATTTTGTTGATTTTGAAGAATAATAAACAATGATGTTGATTCCGTTGGCAAAATGGGTCGTACAGTTCAATATATTTCTATTATTGTATCAAAGTTAATACATTAACATTTTAATGGAGTGAAATTAGATAAAAAAAAAAAAAGGATTTCCAGTCTTTAATCTATAATATATGAATCCGCCATAATCAGCAAAATACGTGTACAATTGTACGATACACAAGTTGCTTGTGTTACTACTCTCCACTACAACTCGACTGTTCAGGTTGTAAGACATTCTCCTAGTTATCCCGACCCCACGCATAATTGAGGTAGATCTTATTTGTGTACTCATTAATAGTGCCATTAATCATTCGTTGCAAAAAAAATACATACACCTCTTTGACAAAAGTTATTCATCTTTCCACACATATTTTTCATTCTATGTTTTTCCTGGTTTTTGATGTGGGTGTTTTTAATACATGTCTATAGATAAAACGTCCGCATAGTGATGATATATATTTGTTTAACTTTAAAGTCATTTTTTTTTCCAATTTTGTTATTTTAGCCTTGATTGATAGACACAGTATTTTTCTTTGGGCAAGGTATAGATAAGGTGATCAATATTTGAGAGATGAAATATCGAGAAAAAAAAGATTTACCAAAGATTCCCATGGTAGGCTTTGTAACATACATGTAGTAACTATAGATTACACAAATCGGTCGCTGGGATAAAACTCAAGCCAGAAAATATTATATGAGAGGGCAGAAATATTCACCGAGAGGACATGAATTTCGACTATTTTTGAAAATTGCCCACATATTTCATCCCAAGCCTTTGAGTCGCTTATCATATTCCTCATTTCCAGGGTAGATTGCATCAAGTGCAATGTCAGACTTCGGGCATGACCATTTAACCCTTTTACCACTGTAGACCATAATGGACTCATCTAGATCAATGCATGGTAGAGTCTACTTAAGTTACATAGGAGTGAAAGGGTCAATAATTCTTCTCCTCGGTTTGAACTTTTGTCACACCCTCAAAGCAGGCAAAGATTATATTATTGAAAGTTGGAGGCGCGTATTAAACTTGACAATCATGGATTTTTCTCCATAGCTAGAGTAGGTATGTTGTCTTCCCTTTTATTTGGACGTTTGTTAGTCACAGTGAAAATATATCTCCATGTACTTAATATCATACTTTACCCGTCAAATACCGGTGTCATATGCATGTCATTATTATTTATCGTTGCATAAATCAACGATCAGAAAAAAGATATTCAAACGACTGTTACAATATATTTGACTATTTTACATAATAAAACAGCAGTTCTGAATTGCATTTTTGTTTAGTTTTTTTTTTTTTAATTTTCTGTATTAAATTAAAAGGAATGGATTTCGCAAATTAATGCGTAGTAATGCAATATGCATATAGACTAATAAAATGCAGTGTGTAATATATATGTGCTACATAATATACATTACATAATTTGTATCTATGGAAAAAATGTATCGTAGTATACGAAATCTTTTTTCAACCATGTGCTGGTGTGTTCGTTCTTTTTATTTGAAGCCTGAAGTAAAATAGCAAAAAAAAAATGCACAAAGTTCTACAGTGTCAATTTATATGGACGAAATATACAACAGCGTCAACACAAGGCCGTAAGATACCAAGGTATCAAAACGGACAAAACATATTCCAGTCTCAAAACAATGATACCATATACCACAGCATCAACACAATATACCACATTGTCGGTAAACAAGGATACAATATACCACAGCATCAATACAAGGATGCAATATACCACAGCGTCAACACAATGATACAATATACCACAGCGTCAACACAATGATACAATAAACCACAGCGTCAACACAAGGATACAATATACCAGTGTTGGTAAACAAGGATACAATATACCACAGCGTCAACACAAGGATGCAATATACCACAGAGCCAACACAATGATACAATATACCACAGCGTCAACACAATGATACAATAAACCACAGCGTCAACACAAGGATACAATATACCAGTGTTGGTAAACAAGGATACAATATACCACAGCGTCAACACAAGGATGCAATATACCACAGCGTCAACACAAGGATACAATATACCACAGTGTCGGTAAACAAAGATACAATATACCACAGTGTCGGTAAACAAGGATACAATATACCACGGCATTAATACAAGGATGCAATATCCCACAGCGTCAACACAAGGATGCAATATACCACAGCGTCATCACAAGGATACAATATACCACAGCGTCAACACAATGATACAATATACCACAGCGTCAACACAAGGATACAATATACCAGTGTGTCGGTAAACAAGGATACAATATACCACATTGTCGGTAAACAAGGATACAATATACCACAGTGTCGGTAAACAATGATACAATATACCACAGCGTCAACACAAGGATACAATATATCACAGTGTCGGTAAACAAGGATACTATATACCACAGTGTCGGTAAACAAGGATACAATATACCACAGTGTCGGTAAACAATGATACAATATACCACAGCGTCAACACAAGGATACAATATACCACAGTGTCGGTAAACAAGGATACAATATACCACAGCATCAATACAAGGATACAATATACCACAGCATCAACACAAGGAAACAATATACCACAGCGTCAACACAAGGACAAAACATAACACAGCGTAAACACAAGGATAAAATCAAAATATAACATAACGTCAACACAAGGACATCATATACCATAGTGTCACAATACATGTACAAAGACGAAATATATACCACTCTAAAATAGTATACAATTCTTTCACCCATTTTCCTGTCCCTCTTCCTCCCCCTCCCCACCTGCTTCCATACCTATTTTGCCTCATTCTCAATAATGCAAAAAGTCTTGAATAATATTCCTTGATGTATGTATGTCCGTTGATATACATTTGTGCTCAGACTAGCATTTCAACAATCCTGTCCACACTCTTAAATCATAGACATATTCTAGCAGTAAAGGATATTTTCTTCTTCTGATACTCCTTATTCTGTTTACCAGGTATAGTGTTTGTATGTCAGTTAAGGAACGTTGGACTAAAAAAAACAGTGACCTCTCTCTTAAGGTTTCTCTCCTGCAGCAATTTATTTTATTTTTAAATACAAATATACATGTACAATACATATAAATTGACACAAACAGGTTAGGTTTCCCTTCTCCCAACTCATTGGATATATCTGCAAAGAGTTGGTAAACATTTTTGGTTAACCACTATAGTGGGAAACACCTTTGTAAGTTAGCAAAATGTGTTTATTCATCCTTTTCTTATTGTCATTAAAACGTGTTATTGCATACCATTTGCAAATTTTATCAACTTGGAATCATCAATAGGTATAGTGCAACATTTTTATCATTACCAATATTTCCCCTTAATTTTTCTGATAAAAAGTGTGATAACCATGTGTCACAACACATGATGAGGGACGACGCGTAGCTCCATGACAGCATATGACATAATGAGATATGCAACATAAGATGGAATTTGATATGTTAAACAATACAATATAAATGGCAATAATATGTATTGTACAGTGAATATATGTCTCCCTCCAACATCACAGATTGCATTAGAGTATTGCATTTATGGATATATTTCACAAGGGATTAAGCCTAAAAGATATACCCCATATATCAACTCTCCCAATAACAGAATGCAATCTGAGATGTCAGATAATAATCTATATGTGGTATTGCTTTTTTACATACCAATTTTTTTTTCTTTATTTACATTCCAACCCCCCTGCAAAGCATTATATACTCATCATTATTCAACATTCATGTTGCTTCCAAAAATCTTAATCAGATCAACATTGGCAGACAAAAAAACAGCACTGTACCACTAATATATAATATATAACAGGTATGCAAGAAAAGTGAGGTACATGTTCCCATATGACATATAAAAGAGTTTTAATAATCTTATACAGTACAGTCAAACTTCCATAAATCGAACTTCAAAGATTCAAACTTCTCGATGTGTCGAACTTATGACAAAGTCCAGAATTGTTCCCTTATATAACACTACACTAATATATTCTTTTCATGTATTGAACTTTTATAAGTCATATTTCTCACTATTTCAATGTATAATCAAGGCCCATTCGTTATAAAAACATTGAAAATTACAACTAATGAATCGAAGAACATTGAAAACATTGAAATTAATAATATCTATATTTTAAATCAAATGCCTTAGTCTGTGTTTAAAAAAATAAAATCTTCTGTCTTATTTACAGGATCTCGATGTGCATTATTGGTGAGTCGAAGTCCCAATGTTTCAAATTTTTTCAGATGGTCCTGCAAAGTTCAAACATTGAAGTTTGAATGTATCTCTTTTTTTATTAAAAATCACTAACATGAATATTTGCTGAGACTGTGTTTCTTCTATTGCCTGCATGACTGACATTTACGGTAACCATCCTATTGCATCAGGTCTGTGAATATGCTTAAAACGTGGGTGGTAATAAGGCTGAGCGACCTGTGATGCCACAAGTGATTTGGTGTCGATATGCAGCCACATTTGATAAAATGAGATATCAGTGGCACCACATGATTTGAGTGATAGTGCCCCACATAAAACAATGAACTTTGGTGAACCATATGAATTGTCTGTCATTTCATTAATAGTAATACAACAGCCAGTCCACTAGAGCCAGCAAACAGGTACTTCAACAAAGCATCAGCCAGCTCTGTGTGATTGATTGATAGGTTTTACGTCCGCTTCACTACTGCGTATTTCGGTTATCCAGCAGACGATTGTATTTAGTGACGGTATTCATACAGTTTTTCTGGTTGACGAGATGGATCTAAGCAATTTAAGGCTAAAACTTCCAATCAAGGTTTTCTTGCTTTGGCCCCTGACCTTTTCCCCCATGGCCCTTTTAACCCATGGAGAGGTATTTATAAAAAAAATCCTTCAATATCCATGTACTACATCAAGGAACGGGAGCATTGGCTTTCCGTAACACTAAACATCCTGTAACTAAATCATTTGGCATCAACTTTAGTCGTGAGTACTCTTCTGCTGTGCTGTACCTGAGCTTCGTTTCAGGGTCTCTATAAAATGCCTGAAATTTTAATTAAAATATATAAATACTTACTGCCAGCAAAAGCATGACTCTTTTTTTCAGAAGAAACTAGAAAATGTATGTAAGACATGAATGCCCCCGTCACCATGTGATGGGACGGACATGGGCAACACTCTATATACCCCACCACCACCACCACCACCACCACTACCATGGTATGGTGGGTGCATAAAGAGCAATCTTAATTGTTTCCTTCAAAACATAAATTCTATGGAATTTAATATTTCTATTCAATTTTGATCCATATACTGAAAACTTAGATAAAATACATGTGAAAGTCACTAATTTTTTCCCATTAATTTTCAAGTACATCTTCTATAGTACGAATTATTTACCGGAATTACTCAAAACACTTAATTCGGTAGTTCGAAATGTCTAAAATGAAAATGAGACATAGTTATTTGTCATACCATGAATTTGTTTGTCACAAAAAGCATGACTAATTTTCAGACAGACGTTTTACAGTATGAAATACTGACTGGAATTACTTAATGCACTTAATTTAATCCTAAAATGTCTAAATTCATGTATACATGTAGTGCATACTTTTTAGGGGAAAATGATAATATCAAGAAAGGGGTGTGCACTATACACAAGAACAGTCCAAAACCAGTCCTGGGTCGGGACCATTTATTGTATTTTTTTCAGGTATTTTCAGAAATATTTTGCAAGTATTCTCGTAGCAATAAACTGCTAAACTTTTGAGTAATAAGTCCTGATTTCATTGTCTACTTATAAACCATTATGACAATTGTAACTTAAACTTAAAGCCATATTACACGATACAATCTATCAGACAGTTAGGTAGTTATTTGCTATACTGTGAATGTTTTTCTTTGCTTCTGGATACTAGTTTCAAACAAAACTACAGGTGTCTTACACAGCATTGAAGGGAATATAGTAGCATTCAAAGATAACCCAATATGCTTAAAATGCAAATGAAAATCTGAATTTTCCTGGCATAAAAAATGTGCCCCCTGATTTATAATTACAATTTTAGTGCATTATTGTTAATTAATCATTCAAACTACTAAACAAAACAATACATTATACGTTCGTGAATATCACCTCTACTTACAGGTAGTCCTGAAATGTCCGAGTATTTTTTGGCTGGTTTAAAAGATGGAGGTGCCTCGATAGATCCATCTGAAAATATAAATTTCAGTACATGTAAAGCCCTACAATTTCAAAAATATTACTCTTACATATGATTTGACTGAAAAGTCATCCTTGATACTTCAGGGGTTACGCTCACAGTCACTCTGCACCCCTGGGCTATGTCATAGCAAAATCAGAGGCATGTGACTAGCTATTTGATTGGTCTCAAGTTAAAAAACTTGACCAATCTTGTAGCTGATACCTGCCCTCTGAAAATTACAGAGGAGCGACACCCGCCTTCAAAGCCAGTCAATTTTACTGCTTCTTGGCCGTGAGATTCTTTTGATGTACATCAAAGGATCATACTAGACTTCTTGTCTCATCTACAAGGTGGCGCACACTGAGCCTTCAATTTTGCTATCACATATTCAAGGGGTGAAGAGAGCGAGCGTTACCCCTGGAGTATCGAGGATGACAAAAGGAATGTGATTGGTCCGTATGAATAATCTTAGGAAAGGTCAACTTGTATGCGTACACTGATCGTGAGCCTTCTGGAGAATCGAGGATGCTGTAAAGTATGAAGAAATATAAGTTTATAAACATAACTGTTTTTGGGTTGCAATCATAAACACTTGAATAACGACTGCATAGCAGGATAATTGCAAGAACCATTCCTTTTCACATGTTTGATTTCCTGTAATAAGTTGTCAATAAACTTGCGTTTAATTGCCAATATTTATATTTTTACCTGAAATAATAATATATTTTTTTAGCATTGACCAAAGTTTTTCGATTAACACAAAAGCCACCTGCCAGCAATATTCAATAGTACAGAACATGACTGTTCAGCTCAACCATACGAAAATACCAGCACTTAATGCACTATGTAGACCTATTTGGAATATTTGTCTCGTAGCAATGAAATATGAATTTAAACAAAGATAGTATTGTTTAGCAGTTATATTTTGCATGCATTTTAATTTGCTTTGTTCGTGCTTTGACTTATATCTACGAATTCTTAACACAAGTGAAATGCTACTTGATGATTTCTGTTTCTTGTACACATCAAAAGTAACTATTGCATAGAACCACTCAGAAATATACAAGAAACTGAAATTACATTTACTGCATAAAGGCTAATTTTTCTCCCTTTGTCAATAATAAAGATTTAATATCTAACACTAAAGGATGTCAATACAATTTCATATATACTTACATGTCACATCATCCGGTTTCCATGGTAACAACTTCTCTGCAGCAACAATTTGTTTAAAGTTTTTCCAAATTCTTGTTCTTTTACTTGAAGCTGCTCCCTTACTAGAATGCTGTGTAAAATCATATAAAACACAAGTGATAAGAACTTAATTTTTTTTACATGAAGGATGGTAATACTGTATATTAATAAGGGGATGATATTTTCACGATATCAATATCAAGAGTCAATTAATATAACGTTATCACAAAAAAATGATCCGCAGAATCATATGACAAGGCCAAATAAAAAAATCTTGTGTTTCCGCTTACCCTACCTACCCCAGATCTTTGTCCCTGCCCTTAGGTATTAATTGGGATTTAGTGTTATATGTACTGTTAAAGTCAGAAGTCCTAACAGCATACATCAAAATTTAAGCATCAATTACAATAGCATGTTAATTTAACTTTACAATATTTACAATATCTTTTTTAGATAGCTGTATGGTTAGAAAATGATCCCAATCAAGCATATCATTGCCATTCTGTTAAGCAGCTTGCACAGAAGACATGCACAGAGACAAGACTATAGATATCTATTAAGTCCATAAATATTTTGATCAATCTTAGATGTTGTTAATGTAACACAAAAGGAAACACACACTGGCCAAACCAGGATCTCCAAACTATTAGATAGGTGATCTAAGCAAATGAGATACCTGGTCAATAATGTTTTCATCCAGCTCTACTCCAACAATGTTAGAGGTCTAACACGGTGAGAAACTTTTGACGGGCGTTGCAGTCAGCAAAATAATATGCGATAGAAAAAAGGCCCACCAGTGGTCTCTTATGTCATAGGAGTAATCCAGCTCATGATCAGGACTTTTAAATCTACACACCAGATCAATTAAGTAAGCATGTAAATGTTCACATACCACAAAATTTGGATCCTTGAAAATAGGAATTTTATCAGTTGTCTCCCCTGACAAAGTTGATGGACTTTCTGCTGCGGTTTCTCCAGGTACAATCACCTCCTCTGTTGCTTCCTGTGGAGTCAGCACACCTGAGGAGGGCTATAACCAACAAATCATCAAAAAGTAAAAAAATACATCTTTAAGTCTAAAGAATAAATTTGCCAAAGTTGAATTTAGCATCAAACAAATCTAGGTGTAGGGGAATCAATGTTTTGGTAAATGGTCATTTTGTTACAGAGATGTTTAATGGTACTTTTATAAAACGTTTTGATACACCAAAAAGTTGTTTTGATATTTGGGAAGATTTTTGGCAATTGAACTGACATTTCAACTTCATACTTTGTTCAAGTTTTTTGTACTGTGTGTTGCTGACTTAATATTTTAAAACTTTTCAGCATTTTTTATGGATTCATTATAATATATATTCTTGTTAAATTGATTAAAAAATACAGTTGTCAGTTGCAAAGCCTAAGGGGAATTGTGATTGCAAAATTACTATAACTTTATTACCTAAATGTGGTCTTGTGTGTTATGTAAGGTAAAGAGTACCAGCAGGTTATTAATCTATATCATTACTACTATCATCAATGTTTGAAATCAGAAATAAAACAAACAAGAGAATTCCAGGGGTCAAACTCGGATTATATATATATGTAACGGAACTGGACACGGGGTGGATCGTCGGCGACAACGTAGCTCAATTGGTAGAGCATCCGTCTAGAGTTCGGAAGGTCCCGGGTTTGAACCCCGGTCTATCTATCTATCTATCTATCTATCTATATATTCTGCATCACCCTCTTTCGAGGATTATGTGCAGCGTGCGCGTCTGTGCATGTTAAAAGGTATTGTGTAGTGACCGAGATAGAAATGATAAAGTGCGGACTGGTGCATGCATATAAGGCAGAGGGAGAGGAAAGAAAGAAAAGTGTGATGAGAGAGTATTTGGTGCTAAGAAATGTCTATAAGTTTAGACCTGCTACTGCCAATACAAGGGCATATTTGGGTCTGGCCGTGCATTTTTCTCTCCTGTTACATTTACATACCAAAGCCTACACTTTACCAATGTTGCCACACACAACATGATAAAGAAGGACATATTTCAGGAGATAAGGTAGTTACTCTAAGTCAAAAAGAAATCCTTTTGGTAGCCTCAATCTCTATATAGAGGGGAGAACACTCCAAGTCAAAAATACTCCGAGTGGAACTCTTCTTCGTGATTATAACTGATGCAGTGGTACCCTGATGCCCTGAACTGTCAAAACTGGTGACTGACCAATCAAACACGCTGCTACGCTTCTACTCCAACAATGTTAGAGGTTTTACAGGGCGAAAAACTTTTGACAGGCGCCGCAGTCGGCAAAATCATATCCGATATCCGATCCATATTCATGTTATGGGAGTAGTTATGGGAGTATCGTCGATACTACACTTCATGTTATAGCTAATAAGAAAAAGGTTCTTCTGGGTATGTTGTATTTTATTATTATGTGACTGCATCAGGAAAAACAAGATATGATTCAATATATGCTCAATGAAATTCTAATTCATTACAAACAACACAAATCTGACATTTTCACTTTCGTCAAAACATGAGACTTCCATGGGCATGGCAGGTCTACATGATCTATAAGCTGTAGTTTGGACTGATTCAAAATAAATCTGATGGTTGTTAATATAACAACACCATGGATTTTGAAAAGACATACCGTCGCCGGACGTTTTTTCTTCGCTGGAGTTGTTGCTGGACTTGTGTTTTTACTCTTCGCTGGTTTTCTGTTTCTTGTTGACGCCATCTTGATTAATATAACGGAAGTAGTGCGGTTGGGGTATTTACCGAAATGGACCGGAATGGAGTTGAATTACCGAAATGGAGGGAAATGGACTTTAAAATGGCATTATTTCAAGAGAATGGACCTTAATATACATTCTTCATCACCAACTGGAGTCATATGTAGAAGATTGGGCGTTTATTTTGTTTACATCCATTTTAAATTAATTTTTCAAAATAACGCAATTCACGGCACGATTTTAATTACCGAAATGGACGGCAATGGGCCTTAAATTGGCATTATTTCAATAGAATGGACCCTAATATACATTCTTCATCACCAACTGGAGTCATATGTAGAAGATTGGGCGTTTATTTTGTTTAAATCTATTTTAAATTAATTTTTCAAAATAACGCAATTCACGGCACGATTTTCGTTACCGAAATAGACGGCAATGGGCCTTAAATTGGCATTGTATCGATAGAATGGACCCATATATGCATTCTTTATAACCCAATAGAGCTATATGTAGCAGATAGGTAGTTAAATTAGACTGGAAATATTTTTTATTTGTCATTTAAAGACGCGCAATAGCCGAGATTCACGGTACGATTTTCGATGCCGCTCTATCACCAAAACGGAGCGATATGGACCTTAAATACGCTCAATTTCAAGAGAATGGACCAAAACATACTTTCTTTGTCATTCATTAGAGATATATGTAAAATATCGAAGGTTTATCTGTCCCGACAGTATTTTTAATATTTTTTCTAAATTTGGGAAATGATATCGACAATATAGACAGAAGTAAAGAAGGAGACGGAAAGCGGAAAATCCGGATTTATTAGTTTTTCATGCATTTTTTGATCAAAAATAAATTAACACAAAAAACACAAACAATACCTTGTGGATGAATTCAACTCATACTCTACATTTCCTCCAATGAGAATATGAAACAGCTAGATCATAATCAGACATGGAATGTAAGTACACACTAAACATTATGTCTTTTATATTTATAATATCACCATAAATTATCTCTTAACTTTCCTGTATAATCACATTGTAAACTATATGGGTGGCTATATCACTGTACATAAAGCCACATTTATGACATAATTATTGACCCTCACACTAGTTAGAATTACAAATACGTGCTAAGCACTACACATTGCGATATATACCATCATCACTTTTTTTTTGTGTTGTCTATTTTTTTAGGTTATACAATCATATATAACATGAAATTGTTTACAGAGAACTCCAATTTCCTCTCGTATCAATACGAAGGTCATAGTGCTTTCAGCACTATATATGTGACATACTCAAAAGATAAATATTTTACTGGGGACTAAGAAATTTAATTGAAAACACAATGAGTCATGTTTATGTAAATTTAAAGCATAAAAAATAGAATAAAATAGTAGAATTGTTACATAAAGCAAATTGCTAATTAGTCATTCATTATGTCACAATAAGTCAATCAAAAGAACCTGTTATAATTTTAAACTCATTGGCCCCTGTACTGACCTTGAAAGTCAAACAACTAACTTTTTAATCCTTCATCTCAGCATGCAACTTACCAAACATTACCACCCTTAACCTTTTGTTTATTGTGATTATTCCATTTAAAGATTTATACACATTTAATCAAATGTGACCTTAAATACAAGTCAAGGTCATTCACATAAAAATACTTGATAGCTCTTCATCTATACATATGCGATCAAATAAAAGCAATAGTGTAGAGGCTAGAGAGTGATTCCTTTCAGCTAATCAGTATTGAATCTCATTTTTTTTTTTTACTTTGGCTCAGACATTTTGCTTAATTTGACAGTTCTTTATCATTTGTTGTTGCCATCAAAAAAAAAAAAAATGCCTTTTTTATATTTCTTAATGAAACAGTTTCTTAAATCAGTTAATGAGTACATTCAACAATAAAATTGCATTCTTCTTCAATATCGCCATGTGCACTGTGACGACAGAGACGTATATATAAATACGTCTCTGGTGACGATATCCTCTCTTTCTATACCGTGAAATCTACCAGTTTCAATATTCAATATATGCAATGACAACCAAATTTCAGCAATTTGTTTTATATTTTGTAAACCAATAGGTTTTATTAAATCTTCATTACCATCTATTTGCCATAAATATCCAAAACCTAACCTTAAGGGTTTTTTTTCATTTTCTGTATCATTTTACTCTAGAGTTGGAGAGTAATAAAATGAGGAATTAGTAAACACATAAATCAAATAAAAGATAAGACCCTAACTATGATAAATAACAAAAATTGATTTAAGTAAAACATGAATTCAAAATAGTATACAAAATGAGCCAATATTAAGAGCATTCTGAAGTATATAATATAAGTCAAATATAATATAAAGGTATTCCTGAAGTAATGTTAGGCTCTTTTTTTCATAATTAACAGTGGTATTCTGTCTGAATGAATGCTCTACATCAGTTTGCAAAAGATTAAATTCATAAGTCAAATTACCACTCAAGGTAATCAGAAACCTATTATTGCTTATAGTTCTCCCCAGGGAATAACTCTACCTGGGCTGTGATACAGATATATAGCCCCAGGTAACGTCTCAATACACTGACCAATTAGTGTCAGAAGACAGGTGTGTCAATATGATGTCCAGGTGTGAGAAATTAATTAATACCTTGGTATTAACTGTCATTGAATATGTGTGTAATGGGGGGAGGGGGATCTTACTTGGGAGAGGATGGAGAGAGTGATAACTATATACCTTCCAATCAGTATACAAAACACTTATCTTAATCACCTGTAGGCATAATGCCAAATAATAACAAGCATTATAAATGTAGTAATTAAACTTTTTATGTATTTCTCAAATGATAATTATAAATCATACATAGATAAAAACATGAAATGCTATATAGGCTGGTTAATATTAAGAAAAAATATATCTTTTATATATGTATATATAGACTAGCCACCGTCTCTAGAATATTAAATAATTAAGAAAAAACTTACTCTAATAATTTTGATCACTTGGATGTCTGATTCCTACGTTCTTAACTAGGGGGAGATAAGCTAGTAGTAAAATGCAGTCGAGAAATTCTTCATAAAAACTTGGGGGCTGGTGGCCAGTCTAATGTATATACTTTATAGTATAGATAGGTAATACAATGTAGTATGACAGGATTGAAAACAATTATGCTAGGATATCCATCAATCAATTGATCAATTTCATCAGCTCACATTTGATAACATGGTTTTTGTATGTCCAATAACTGAAAAGTTGAATATACCATTATGGCATATTAGCAATGTGATACCTGTAACTCATTATTTATTTTTAGCTAATGCAACTGGTTAATCTATTTAACAGGAACCAGGAAAATGTTGTTTAAACATGATGGAGAGAAATGGGACTTTTAATCCAACCTTTGTTTTCATTCATCTTGGTGGGAGCGATTCATCAATGGTGTTTTCAGGAAACCCTTAATTGGTCTGACCAAAATAAATGTTTACAAGAATTGATAAGACTAAATAAAAGACATAACTAATCTCAAAGTGCAAATGACTTAGTTGTGACATTTTCTGAAAGAGAGATGCAGAAGTACTTCTTTATATTAAGTTTGTCTATAACAGTAACCTACATACATTGTATGTAGTGTATGACCATATCAGTGCATAAACGTGGATAATAAAAGTCAAAGGTGTATGAAATATTGAAAGTCACAGATTGTTTTATTTGACTTGCATAGTATAGAGGCAAGTATTGCACCAATTTCAATATTTCAAGGAATTTTCAGAGAATATTGCAAAACATAATATATTCTGTTCCTAGCAATTCAGTGCATTATATATCATTTCCAATTGAATAAACTTATTAAAGGAAAAGTGAGCATCAGTCCATTTACTTTTAATGATAAATTAAACATTATTTTATACAATTTTTGAAGTTACTAAACCAAGCAAGCTGAAATTTGAAAACATTTAACTTTTGTTTTGAAGTTATTGTATAACTGTGTCTAAACGACCAAGTACTCGGTTGAATTAATCACAATATATAATGATTAACAGATATTGCAATATCATAGTGATAGCATTTAATATTGCCAACCTTAATACAGTCATATGGTAAGTTCACTTTACTGTGAGAGATGTGTCTGATTTTGAAAGTATTAACTTAAGCATATTGATGCTTGAAAAAATTTGCTGATCACTTTTTATAATGTAGTAGAAATACACTGTACCAACATCTCTTTACTTGTTGATATTTCAATCATCAGGAAGTGTTTCTAAAAGGTAGGGTCAACGCCTATGAAAATTTAACATCGGGGCCCCCCTTGGAATTTCAAAACAAGATAAACATAAAAAAGTTTAGGTATAGGAACTTCACGGAAGCTTAAATCAGAAACAGTTTCAGCATTCATTTTATGACAAATGGGACCTCATTGACTTACACCTGTGTGGGTGTTAAAGGTGCGGTAAAAACAAGTCCTCCAGGAGCATTTAATTGACACAATTACTAAACAAGAGGCCCAGAGGGCCTGTATGGCTCATAAACATTGGTGACCTTGACCTTCGTTCAAGGTCACAAAAATCAAATGTGCTAAAATATATTATCTTTCCTTGATTTACTTTGAGTAAAAGATATGAAATAATCACTGCTGCACATAATTTATTAATTTAAAAACATGATAATATAATGAAGTTTTTTGGTATGATACAGAAACGAAAAATGTATCTGTATTTACAATAATTAACAATGATAGTCAAATCCTCATGACTATGTGAAATTGTGCATTGGCCATGTTAGGCATGCTAAAAAAAACTTATTTTAACGGTTTTGAGTTTATATAGAAACGTTCCTGTAGACAGAACACATATAAGGAAAGTTTTTAAAGAAGTATAAAATATATACACTACCATCATATTTTTATATATAGGCAAGTTGATAATATTGGATACATTTTAAATTTTGTGAAAATTTTGTATGTCTTTCTAATTAAAGTATCACCACGCTTACTTCCTGTATCAAAATGACATATCTAATATGAAAAAATAGTACA